GCTATTTTGGTTTTTTTCCCCCATATGTCTTACTTTTTTGTTTCTCTTTCTCCTTTACTGCCTTTTTTGTTTGAACAATTATTTTCTAATGTGCCATTTTACTTCTTCTGTTAATTGATTTTTGTAAAAGTTATTTTCTTACTGTTTGCTAGAGTTTTTAGTATGCATCTCATCACATTCTTCAGATTAATGCTGACCTACCTCTGGTAAAATGTAAGATTACTATTTCTTGTAATGCAGACCTACTAGCAACAAATTCTGTTTTCATTTGTCTGTGGCTGTTCTTTTTTCACTTTTATTTTTCAAGGAGAGTTTTAAGACTCTTGAGCTGAGTAGAGAAATTTGACCACTCTGTGTCGCCCTCACTGCAGCTGTCAGGAAAATAGGCTTAAACTATTTCCTGTGTTTGCAGGCATCCTCATGATGGGGTGTGCCTCTGGGAGTGGAGCCCCCTCGACACCCCTCCTTCCTTTGCCTTCTCTCAGAGCAGGGTTTCTCAGCCTCGGTACTATTAACATTTTGGGCTGGATAATTCTTTTTGTCAGGGGCTGTCCTTTGTATTAGAGGATGTTTAGCAGCATCCTTGGCCACTACCCACCACGTGCCAATAGCTGCCCCCTTTCTCAGTTTTGAGAACCAAAAAGGTCTCCAGGCATTCCCAGTGTCCCACAGGGAGGCAGAATCACCACCAATCGAGAAACACTGTGTTCTATAGGAGGTTCCTTTTCCTGTCATGTTTCACCCATCCCGTCTCATTGCTGCTCTCCTGTCTGTCCTGTTGCTGCTCACCTGGGTCCTCTGTCCCTTCCACAGAGCTCTGAGTCGATAGTGGCCTGAGGATGGAGGCGGTTGCCCTCTTCTTTTTTTTTTTTTAAGTTTTTTTTAACTTAAGTTTTAAGTTTCAGAGATAGAATTTAGTGATTCATCAGTTGCATACAACACCCAGTGCTCATTACTTCAATTGCCCTCCTTAATGCCCATCACCCAATTACCCCATCCCCCAACTCACCATGCCCTTTTCTTTTTTAAACATTCTTGAGTACCCTATTCATCAGGTATTAGAAGAGGGCCATGTTTTTATAAAGTGTGCTTCTCAAAAGTACAAGTGCTATAAAACAGATAATGTGTAAAAGTTCAGGAATAGTTGAGATTATCTATTATTTATTGTTAATTTTTGTTTTCTGAAATAGAGAATTTTCATGTGTATTACTTTAAACTATTACTTTAAAACTTTTCGTGTTGGATCTTTTTGATACACTGGAACAGTTTAGCTTCAAAATGTTGACTTAGATGATGAAGTGTGTCCCATATCAGACAATTAATAAGTTGGTTGGACGGAGATTAGTTTGAGGTCTTCTGTGACCAAGGTAAATGTCCTTTGAGTTTTAGAATCTAAGAGAAAAAGTATATCCTTCATAGCACCATTGAGATGAGGTAAAAGCATTCTACATAGTAGGAGTCTTGAGGCACCCTGGGGACATCTGTGTTTGTCACCTCAAAAAAGAATGGTGCATAATTTTCACCAATGAATGGTTAGCTAGATTTCCCCTTTTGTACTTGACTACTGAATTGGGTGGTAGAGATTTTGGCTCCTGATTGTTCCTAATTAATTTTTTTGCTGCTATTTAGCAACTGTGGCATTCCTATTAGAGATTATCATTCTAATAGTTCTTCTAAAGTGTTCCTTGTGGCCAGTTGAATTACTTTTGGAATGATGGAGTTAGAGATGCAGTTGTGTGTGTGTGTGTGTTTAAGAGAGCTTTTTCTCTTTGAAAACTTTGTTTTTAAAATATTACTGGGGCACCTAGGGTGGCTCAGTTGCTAAGCATCTGCCTTCGGCTCAGGTTGTGATCCCAGAGTCCAGGGATCGAGCCCTGCATCGGGCTCCCTGCTCCATGGGAGCCTGCTTCTCCCTCTCCCACTCCCCCTGCTTGTGTTCCCTCTCTCGCTGTCTCTCTCTGTCAAATAAATAAATAAAATATTTAAAAAAATTACCATTTTTGGGGCACCTGGGTGGCTCTGCCTTCGGCTAAGCGTTAAGTGTCTGCCTTCTGCTCAGGTCATGATCCCAGCTCCTGGGATTGAGCCCTGCATTGGGCTCCCTGCTCAGTGGGGCTCCCTGCTCAGTGGGGAGTCTTGCTTCTCACTCTCCTTCTGCCCCTCCCCCACCCGCTTGTGCTTGTACTCTCTTTCTCAAACAAATAAAATCTTTAAAAAAATACTATCATTTTCAAACATTTTTAAAAAGATTGTTTGCCACAAAGATGTATATAACTCCATTAGTCAAGGAGTTAAAGGTTTACCTTTGTTTCTGCCTGAGCTTGCTTTGCAGGTGACCAAAATCCTGTGCAGTATTTTCCCCATCCTTAGCGGTAGTTCCTTAGGTTCCAGGTGGCTCTACGGAACCACTTAGTCCTTTCAAAGAAATGATCCATTGGAGAAATTAATTAGTGTATAGAAAGGAATTAAATTTGGTCAGATAACTTTTGAACCTTCACCTCCTCGACTGTGACAGGCCGTTGGTTTTTAAATCCAGAAGTTAGTCTTCTTTTTAACCAACTGAAATGTTATTTTCTTTCCTGCATGGTGGCTCTGACCACACTACCACCCATTTTATAAATCTGATCACTTACCCTTATTATAAATATATGCCAATCAATTATTTTGTTTGTACTGTTTTGCAAAGCATGGGGCTTGGTATTAAAGGTAGAAAAAGATAAGGCAAGCTCACTTGCAAAGTATACTGCATACCCACTCCACAAAATAACTTGATAGAGGATATTTCAGAGATGTAAGCTCTTAGTATAAGAAATGTGTGGTGTTTTTTTTGTTTGTTTTGTTTTACTTTTGCTTCTGCTGTCTAGGCCAGTCTGAATTTTTTTTGCACCTTTCCCTTCACATATTAATCACATGACTTCTAGCATACCGTTTCACTGCTTTGATTTAATTTTCTTTGTTGTTCTTCAGTAGAGTGAACTTCTATTTTCTAAAATCCCAAAGTCTGGAAAATTCAAGTAATCAAAATTATTTGTACTTTCGTGAGAGTCACATTTTATGTTCACAAGTTAATAACAGGGATAGATCTAAAATAATCTCTAGGCTGTGGCATGATGTCATTATTAAGTTCATCACTGTAACCCTCTATCTTTTATGTATGTAGTATTTTAAGTTGATAGTTTTCTATTGCAGGGAACAGCAAACTTTTTCTTAAAGGACCTGATAAGAAACATTTCTAGCATGTAGGCATTATGGTCTCTGTTACAGCGACTCATCTCTGCTGTTTAGAGGGAAAGAAGTATAGACAATGCATAAAGCATTCAGCGTGTATATAAAGAAATACTGTGTCATGTTAATTTGTTGAGAGTATACTAGGCAGCTGAAAATACTTGTTGTCTAAAACAGTAGGAGAAGTAAGTCTTGTAAATAAGGTTTATATTGAAGTTTTTAGACTAATATAGTTTTACTTCATGATAGCGAGTATTATGTGAATTAAAATATTATCTTGAAATTGTCACCCAGCTCTTCAGAGAATAGCCTAATACAGTGATAGTCCCTGGTTTCCAGTTGCTTCATACATTTTGTGGGTGATGTGCCATCCCTAGCACTGAGATAGTTCAGTTGGCATAGTTCATTTTAATCCTCTTACTAGTTTTAATTCATCATTTAGTTTTGTTCCCGGAGTATTTGCATAGCAGTGTGACAAAATACACTTAGGTTTATCAGTTTGTAAGCTTTAGTGATGTTTTTAGATTTCTACTCCAAAGGTCTTTTTGTCTGCTTCTCTGAAGGTGGCTGTTTCGTGTGTTTACCAGGTGTTACTGAGGCTGAGGTGTTGATCCACCTCCCAGTACTTGATGACATGAGTGGCCATTTGTCCGTCCAGAAACAGCAGCAGACTCTGTTGACGCTGTTGTGCTCTGTGGCGGTGCTGGCATCTGTGCTCTGACTTGCCGTTGCGACCTCAGAGGGCAGATGCTTTTGAGTCCTCCAGACTCTGGGTAATGTTCTGTCTTCTGGGGCATGACTGGTCTCAGCAGAGGAGGGCCGCCTGGTTGTCAGAGAGTAGACTGGGAAGCTTACGGTTCTAACCTCCTTCCATGGCCTGCTCTCCCCAGCTGAGCATCAGTCTGCACACAGGGTCCAGCTGGTTCTTCCAGGTGCTTCCCCGGCCTTCTAGTGGCAGGACAATGCACAGTTTTTTCAGTCCTCATAAAAGAAGTTTCCTTCAATTTTTTTTTGTTTTTTGAAAGAAATCTGTTCACAGTGACCTATTCTGGACTTCTGCCATAGGTCCTTTAGTGAGTCAGAGATGATTGAATTAAGATTTAAACATGAGAAACTTTTATCTGTAGAATTGAGGCAGAATTATTATGGTGACAGGTTTTTAAATTTATTAGTAAAATTTGTGTCCCCAAGTTCTAATACTGTTAAATTGGTATCACTTGTATTGCTCTTTTTATTTGGGGGCCAGAGTCTTGTTTACTGTCATTATAATCCATTTCTTCATCTAGGAACAGTGAAGGTTATTGATGGAAATTGTGTAACAAACTTTCACCTTTACGCGGTGACAGCTGTAATATTGCCACTAGTTATTCTCTTATCTCTGTTTTCCCGAGAAATTGCAGCTTATTAAAGATAGCTTATTAATTTTTCTGCAGAATGTTTCATGATAATAATTTATCTATGCTTATATACTCATTGCATCTTATACTGAAATGTCTTGTGAACTCTAGACCCAATCTGAGCATTGGAAACCTAATGTTACCACATTGTAGACAGATGAGATTGATTCAGTTGGTTTTCCTTTTCCTTTTTGTTTTCCCCTCTCTTGTGTCCATGAGCTAGTGACTGGAAAAATTTGTTTCCTTATAGGGAAGAGATTTTTTTTTTTCCAGATTTGTTTTTTTCCATTTAGTTAATTGAAATTTTAGTTTGAAAAATGCTTTTTTTCCCCCTTTCTGGTTGCTTCTGTAACAAATGCTGTCTTGTTTTATTTCCAGGTTTGAATTCTGGGAAGATTTTGAAGAGGACCATGGGAAAGGGAGGGAGAATGGCTACCAGAGTCTCCATAAGGTGCTGGAGCCCTTCCTCCTCCGGAGGGTCAAAAAGGACGTGGAGAAATCCCTTCCTGCCAAAGTGGAACAGATCCTCAGGGTGGAGATGTCGGCTCTGCAGAAGCAGTATTACAAGTAAGCTACGGGCTGGGTTGCACCACAGTAGGATTAGCATCCGTACAAGGAAGCCATGAGGTACACAGTTGACAAACTGCTTTTTTCAATGATGCCTCAACACAGATGTGAGTAGCAGTATATTCATGGTTAGAAAGAGGAAGCTTTATTGTTCTTTCTTTTTTATTTGGGTGAGAATTTGCATAGCACTTTAGCACTTTTCATTCTGTAGGTGGTCTGAAGTAATGTTAGTTAGTGCTGATCTTCCTCCAACAAACAGGCATATTTCATTCATTCATTCATCTGTTTCTTCTCTGCTATTCATTCAGTCATTTATTAAGATTCTGCAGTGTGGTAGGCATCCCTCTACATACTGGGAGTCTGAAGATGAGTGGAATGTGTTCCTGCCAGAAGTGTTGCTTAAGAGGGAAGACAGTAGAGACAAGGGGTCAGTACAGTGTTGTTTAATAACCAAGGCATATGCAGGGCACTGTGGGAGTTGAGAAGGAAAAGTGCTCAGCTCTTTGCTGCAAGGGGGAGACACTCTCCTTTCTGGCACTCCATGTGGCCTGGGCAAGTTGTGGGCTTGGTTAGGTTATGATAGGCAGAAAGCTGGGTTTGGGACAGGGGGTGGTATAGAATGTGCTTTCGTTTTTTTTCTTTAGATTTTATTTATTTGTGTGAGAGAGAGAGCGGGTGCACACACAAGCAGGGAGAGAGAGCACAAGCGGCAGGCAGAGGGAAAAGCAGGCTCCCTGCTGAGCAGGGAGCCCAATGCGGGACTTGATTCCAGGACCCCGGGATCATGACCTGAGCCAAAGGCAGACGCTTAACAGACTGAGCTACCCAGGCTCCCTGGCTCTATTATTTTTTAAACTGAAATATATTTGACATATAATGTGTAAATTTAAGGTGTACAACACGTTACTTTGATACATTTATATGTAATGAGATGGTTGCCATTGTAGTGATAGTTAAGCACCTCTATCACATGACATAATGACCCTTTCTTTTTAATGGTTGGAACGTTGAAGTTCCAGTCTCTTAGCAGATATTGTTGTCTGTATTCACTATGCTGTGCTTTAGATCTCTAGGGATTATTTACTGATTGCAGGTTCACACCCTTAAACAACATCTGTCCCATTCTCCCATTTCTAGGTAACCACTATTTTACATTCTGTTTTTCTGAGTTTGGCTTTTTCGGATTCCACAAATAAATGACATCATGCAGTACTTGTTTTTCTTTGTCTGACTTATCTCACTTAGCATAATATGCTTAAGGTCCATTCATGTTGGCGTTTTTACATCTTTGAAAGAAATAATAGGTTATATCGACCCTTCGACTAGTGAGATTTGTTTTGGTATGATTTTAAATTCATCGATAAGCATACTCATGTTTTATTCTGTGACAGTTATTCTTTTATACTCCTGGTCTAATGGCTCCATTTTTAGCCAGGAGGAGCTTATTCAAGTGAGTTTGGAGTCCTTTTGACATAATCCTAGTTGTAGCTCAGAGCTTTTTGCTTTCTGGAATAAAATGTTCACATTCATCTTGTTTCCTGCTCCACGGCGGGAGTCAGCCATATATCCAACAAGCTCTGCATACTGTTTTATTGGAAAGTGGAATTTGGAGACCTCAGAATGGGCATGGGAGCTATGACTTGCAGCCACACTAGACATCATTGACAGGCTTTTTCAGTGGACAGAATTAGGAAATTTGTTTGTTTTTATTTTTATTTGTTTTAGGAAATTTGTTTTTAAAGATAAGAAATACATCATGACTTTTTTTTTTCAGTTAAACAGTACAACTTAGAGATTTTCTTTGATCTTAATGGTCTTATACCCATACCAAAAATTCCACTTCTTAACGGCACCAACCTATTTAACACCACACACACAGTCTTAGTAGTAATAGTGCCTGGATTACCATCAGCAATGTGAATAACAAAGAGTAAGGGCAAAAATTTTTAATGGTATTTTTTTGTTTTTAAAGGTATATTCCATTAGAAATGGATGAGTCTTAAAGTACTTTGAGATAGTTTTTCTTACTTGTAGTTAGGCTGCCAGCTAGATACAATGGGTCATTTATTTCATTTTAGTTTTTTTTTTTTAAGTTGGCTTTGCATAATTTTGCTTCATAATTATTTGTAGTATTTGTAGAGGTCCAAAGGCAAAGCTACAAAGCCTGGTGTGTTCAAAGATACCTAGCTTATTTCCTTGTCCCCTTCATTCTGGCCCCTCTTTCCCCTAGGTAATAGTTAATTACCAGTTTTAAAATTCTTAATTTACCTTTTCTTTATTTTTTACCTTTCCTTTATTTTTTAATTTTTAAAACACAAGCAAATGCATTTTAACTTTTTTGCTGTCTCCCTCCTTCCTACATCGACAGCATACCATATACATTTTTCTGTACTTTATATTTTTCACTTAATGATTGAAAAACCCTCCATAGTAGACCTCTTTTCTTTTTACAACTGTGTAGTATTCCATTGTGGATCTGTAGCATAGTTTATTCAGCGCAGCCCCCTAGTGGTGGACATTTAGATTGTTTCAAATACGTAAAGGCTTCAGTGAAAATCCTTGAGCATTCTATTTTGAAGTAGAGTCCTGACAGTGGGATTGCTAACAGTGTAAAGAAATTCCATTGCTCAGGAAAAAAAGTACTTTTAGGGGCGCCTGCGTGACTCAGTCGTTAAGCGTCTGCCTTCGGCTCAGGTCATGATCCCAGGGTCCTGGGATCGAGCCCTGCATGGGGCTCCCTGCTCAGCGGGAAGCCTGCTTCTCCCTCTCCCACTCCCCCTGCTTGTGTTCCCTCTCTTGCTGTGTCTCTCTGTCAAATAAATAAAATCTTTAAAAAAAAGAGAAAAGTACTTTTAATATTTTATAGTGTATGGTTAAAGCTTACATGTGGATATACATATGTATTTCTCCTTCCCTTTTTTAAAATTTGGATATAAAACATTGTTACCATGAGCATTTTATCGTGTAAAATGCCCTTTCACAACAATTTGTAAATGGGTACATAGCTTCCATCTGATCGTAAGCCTAATTTAACTAGTCTCCTCCTGTTAGATAGCTTCCTTCTGTTTGTATGTTGTGAGAAAGAGTGCTTCAGTGACCGTCCTTATTTGACGTGTGTGCGTATATGTGTATATATGTGTTTCATTGTTGTTATTTCCTTTTAGTTTTCTGTGCTCAGGTCGAAATGCCCAGTAGAGCAGTGTTTACCCTGTGGTTAACATTCTGAATCAGACCAAAGATGTGAGCAGTCCCAGACAGGTGGGAGGAGGTGCAGAATACCCCATCCCTCCATGCCTTCTTAATGTGCTCATGTCTTTTATGTTCTTGTTTTTGTGCTTCCAGTAACACTGCTCTCTCTCTCTCAGTCTTCTGAGGCCTCTGATTCTCTCTCTATTCTAATTGAAGAACATCATTATTTTAATCTGCAGATGGATTCTGACCAGGAATTACAAGGCTCTTGCCAAAGGGACAAGAGGCAGCACATCCGGTTTCCTGAATATTGTGATGGAGTTGAAAAAGTGCTGTAATCACTGCTACCTGATCAAGCCGCCCGAGGAGAACGAACGAGAGAATGGGCAGGAGGTTCTCTTGGTACGTGGCCACCCTGTTTATAATCATGTTCTCGAATCCTCCAGTGTCGGTAGAAGTTCTTTCCTCCTCTGATGACTCTTCAAGGAGCATCAGAAGAAGCTTTGAAAATTGGTGAGGGAAGTTCACTAGGAAAAATACAGAAAGTCTGATGTCGCAGATGCCAGGTAAAAGCATTTCAGGAATTGTCAGCTGGACTGCACACGGCTTCACCAAGCTGAAGGAAGATTGTCAAGCTAGGAACTCTTAGCAGTTAAGGGCAGATTGAAGTATGGGTTTGAGTGTGATGATCGGAATGTCTTTTTAATCTCTAGTCCCTGATCAGGAGCAGTGGGAAGCTGATTTTATTAGATAAACTGTTGACAAGACTTCGAGAAAGGGGCAACAGAGTCCTTATCTTCTCCCAGATGGTCAGAATGTTGGACATCCTGGCTGAGTATCTGACGATCAAGCACTATCCTTTCCAGGTAAGGATGCTCAGTGATTGGAATCCCTCTCTCCTTCCCTCCCACCAGGTTGTATGCTTTGCTTGCTAAATTATCCTAAAATTAGGAGACAGATTTTCTAGCTGGAAACAAATTGAGACGAAGGTTCTAGGAGGGTCTTTATGTTTACTTCCATACCTTTAAGCTACCCTATGATGAAAGTGGGCATGGGAGGTCATTCTGTTTTTCGGGTTGGGGGGCAGTAAGGAGATGGGTAATAGAGGAAAAGCAGACAAGAGAAAGGATGTTAGATGATGTCTTACAGCTCCAACTCTGGGGTAAGAGTAGAGAGGAAGGAGGTGTGGACCTAATTCCAGAAGCCCAAATCCTAGGAAGAAAGAGAGGCGATAGTTCTTGTGCGTTCATGCCGGGGGGAAGCTGACCCTGGCTGTGGGGCTGGGAACTCAGCAGAGCCATGCACATGAAAGCTTGCTGGTCCCTGAAGCAGGTGGTGGTGGCCCCCTCTTCTCTGTAGGATTGTTACTGGGGATTTTCATCTTCACTCAGTTGTCTCCTACAAGATAAGAAGAAAAAGATAAGGGGGAATGAGTTTCTTCAACACAATATTTTTTTCTGGGTGTTAGACTGTGTGAAATTTCTCTCTGATCTATTTATGGATGTGTATGCTGTTTTTCTTGACTTTAGGCATAACATTTTTATAGTGCTTTGATTTTTAAGATTGATATATTTTTTCTTTGGTTGGACTGTTAAACCAACTTACGTAATTATCCTGGTATCGAAGAAACTGGGGTCAGTGATTCTCCCCTAAGAAGGCCAAGTTTTAAGCTCACTAACAGATTGTCTTTTAAAAATGTCCTGAAAGATATTGTCCTATCCAAAATACCTTATGTGGTCTTTCAGCAGCTGTCTTAGAATATGGTTTGATACTGTGGTTATTTTAGGAATAAAAACAAAAAAGAAAGACCGAGCACACTGCAAAAAGACTGTTGTCTCTCAGTGCATCGGATCTCTTTGAGCTTTCAGGTCAAGCTAAACCTTTGATATCAGGTAAAGTAAGAATGCATTGCTTTTCTCTGTAGGGAATATTTGGCTGGAGTCTACTTGGGTCTGTCATGTCTGCTGTCTTCTATTAATGGGAATATTAAAAGGAAGGCATTTGGGTTTTTTGATACCAAATACAGGCTGTGAACTGCCATTTAAACATATCTTTGGGTTGAGGCTCTGAGTAGAGTTGGTAGAAAGAAGAAAGGGGGTTCCCCTGGTGTGATTTGACTGTGTTCAGGTGGGCCTGAACAGCAGAGCCCTGAGCTGGGGAGAGGTAGGTCCTTCTACAGACTATGTCCCCAGCCACTCACCCATCACTGGGCAGCTGGCATCACCTCTTGGGTCAGATTTGCGTTCTGCAAAATGAGGTATTTTGTTCATCTCAAGATGTGATTGTAAGGGGAAGACATGTGAAAATGATTTTAAAGAGTAAGCAATAAGCACTTTATATGTATAGCATACAGGTAATAATTCTCAGGTATTTATTTGACATGTGGTTTTCCATGGTGACGTTGTTTGGGGCCTAGAACTGACACATAACTCTAATAAAAGAACTAGTAAACGCCAGAGGCTTTCTTAAATATGCATTTTGGTTACTTAAACATTTCAGAGTGTAATTTTTGGAAAGGCTGGAATATATGATCAACTTTAATAAAATGTTATGGCAAAATGTTTCCAAACAAAATTATGTAAATGATTTTTTGGTTTGTGTAGCACTTAATAACTGTGCAACTTGTAGTCATACTAGTTAAGAAGGATCATTTTCTGCATGAGCTAATTAGGTGAGCAGTGGTACGGTGACCTAATCTCTTCAGTCCCTATGGATATAGAAGCAAACGTCGTTTCTGAGCACCGTGTGGGTTGCCGTCTTTCTCGTTACAGGTCCTAGCAGTCATTCTGATCCTTGGATAAACCTAGATAGCCCTCTGAGTCAGAAGCTTCTGACCTTGAGTTTGTAACGGGAGAGCTTGGACTGGACAAGTAGGATATGCTGCTTAAGCACAGTCCCTTGACAGCACGTTGCCAGTACATTCCAGTTATTTTTACTAAGTGGGTGTTGGAGTGATAAAGGTTGCAAGACTGGTGTTCTGTTCTGAGTATAGCTGATAGTCCTACCTTATGATTTTCTTGTGGTCTATTTTTACAGCGTCTGGATGGTTCCATCAAGGGAGAAATCCGAAAACAAGCACTGGACCACTTCAATGCAGATGGGTCTGAGGTACACCATGCATGGCTTTATTATTTGGGTAGTGTGGGCTCTCTCTCCAGGGGAAAGCCTTTCTGGCTTAATGTATTTCATTTCAGGAACAGTTCACAGTGAAGTTCTCCTGCTTTGGGAAGGAAATGAGAAATCACTAAAATAAAAGATGCCTCTTAATTTTGTTGTTTGTTATTCCAGAAAAGCATATGCATGCTTGTTTATCTACCGTGGTCTGGATTAGTGACAGAGTAGTTCTAATAGCAACTGTGGGTGTTCTTTAGTGGCTTCCAGGTACCAAATTTCTGGGCCTGGGAGAGCAGCAAGGCAAGAGTCGGGAAGGCTGGCCAGTAGGATTAATTTTGACATGTATGTTATGACAGAAGGTTCTGATCTGTACTTTTTTGGTGACTGAGGCTTGAAAAGTATATTGGCCATGGCTTAAATGTGTTGGGTTGCTGGTACAATTGATACAGCTTAAGTTCTGTTGTCCAGCTTGGATTTGCATTCTAAAGTGATTTTAAGGCACATATAGAAGGGGTGCTTAGGAAAAGTGAGAAACCATGGTAACATTGTAGCTTGTGTGTATATATCAAGCTGTGAAATGCTGTGGGATGTGAGAGAAGTGGGGGAGAAGATGTTCCATGGAGATAATGCTGCAGCACTGTGTGCGGGTGAAGGTGGCAGTGGAGAGAGCCAGAAGTAGAACTAGTGTTTTGGGGAGAACATGAGCGCTTCTGAAGCCTGGGCCACTACTTCGTATAGACAGAACAGACCTCATGTTCTGCTTTCTGTAGGGCTTTAAAAACTCTGTGTCTCTTACTCCAAAATGGTACGTCTTCTGCCTCTAGAAATGCATGTGGTCCCAGTTAGACTATAGCATTCTGGCTTCTTTAGCCTAAAATGTTAGTTCTCCTTGCGGAGCTTTGGGTGTGAATCTGGACAGAACTGAGGCTCTGAATAGTTCAGGAGAAAAGGAATTGAATTACTGAAGACTGCTCACCCTCTTAATTCCCGTCCCTTCTTTTTCTCTTCTGTTTCCTCCTGTAAAATCATGGTAATTCCAGTACCTGCTGTGGGGATTAAATGCAGTGACCAGCACCCAGCAAGCACTGGGCTCATTGCCTACATAGTGAGCACTCAGTAAATGCTAGCTAGTATTATTATTTAGTATTTATTCAAACTGGTTTTGTGTTCCCTACTCTTAGTTTAAAAAATAGTATGAATGTTTCATATTGTCCTTTCTCAGAGAAACATTATTAAAGCTGCCTTTTCTTTATAATTCTCAATTCTCACCCCATGGCTATTTATAGAATACAGGTTCTCTACCATTATTCTGCACATCTGAGCCTTTTTTATTAAGAAAAATTAAATACTTTATCATTGGGGGAAATAGTATATGCACAATTAGAAAATTTGGAAGATAGTGAAGAGTACAAAGAAGAAAAATTGCACAACTTCTGTTGTTCACATCATTCGGGTGTGTTTCCATTCATAATAGATGAAACTGATTATTTATCTGGGATCATTCTGCATATAGTTTTGTTGTCGTTTTTTTATTCAAAGAATTCTGTGAGCATTTTTCCCATGTCATTAAAGATTTAAAAAAAATTTTAGTTTCTAATGTTTTCTCATGCTTGTACCATTATTTAACCCACTAATTAAACCTACTGACTTACTTCTTGTTGTTGTGTGTTAAGAGAGTACAAGCATTTAAAAAAGGTTTTTGATACATTTTGCTAGATTTCCCAAAGCAGTTTATATTCATATTATTTGTGATGAATATTTCCATCTCACCCTTAGGAGCATTGTGTTTCATTGAGTTTGTTTTCAATTTGATAATAGACACAAATAACATAAGTCACATTATCTTCGGTAAAGAGTGACAGTGAAGGGGCGCCTGGGTGGCTCAGTCGGTTGAGCATCTGACTCTTGGTTTTGGCTCAGGTCGTGATCTCAGGGTCCTGGGATCAACCCCCACGTTGGGCTCCGTGCTCAGCATTTCCCTCAGCTCATCCCTCTCTCTGCCCCCCGCCCCTAGTAAATCTTTAAAAAAAAAAAAAGGAGTGACAGTGAAAATTGTTTATATGATTATTCAGACCCCAGATTTTATTTGATTTAGGTATCTCATTCTCAGGTGTCCACTATTTACTTGTAGGCTTCTGTAAATTAGAGTGTGATGGCACTTGGCATCTCTACCACGGATCACAGAGTATATGTGCCTCAGCATTTGTTTAAAGTTCTTCTGAGACCATTCTCTCCGTTTTTATTTCTGTGGCAGGATGCTGGTGAGCGTAGTTAGAATATGAAGAGCTTTTCATTGTGTCTGTGTATATTAAATACACCCATTGATCAAAATACAACTCAGAACTACCAGCTTTTGAGTATCACTTGTGTGCCAAAAGGGTGTCAGCCTTTGACATACATGATCAAATGCCCTAAAAATAGAAATCTCTGTGGCTTTCTTTTCTCTGGTAATTTATATTCTGCCTCCTGCCCCATATTTTCTGAGCTCTCAGATGCAGGCAGGTATACCATGCCTGCTCAGTCTCTGTCATTGCTGTGGAAACCCCGGAATATGTCAGAGCCTGAATCTTTCCCACATGGGGGTCTTCAGCCACATGTGCTCTTGTTTTCTTTGTGCATGTGCTGTGCTGATCGAGGACCCTGTGCTTCTCAGCAGTCCCATCACGTGATCTGTTGGTGCAGTGTTGTTGGGTTTCTCACCCATCTAACAATAAAGTATCCTTGCTTATACTGACTTATTACCTTATGTGGTGTAATCTACCTTTACTCAGAGAATGAGTGTGTAGGCAACGTGCTGAAATGATCCCCTTGCTAATTAAGTTTTTCTGGATTTTGTTAATTGCTTGTAACACTAGTTTTAGCCAGGAGAGAACGCTAATTCTTTTGTTCTGGTTGACTTATCGGAATCAGCTTTACTCCTTAGTTCCCTGCACTGACTTTCAGCTTAATGAAATGAAAATTCACTCTACCATCAAATCCCTAGCATTCTGGTAGTCTCCATAAAGTTTGTCCATCATATCTCACTTTTCTTCACACCTGCAGGGGTTTCCAGGTATAAGGGCTTATTGGACTGTGAAACTGTTTCTGAGAAGGCCACTGCATAAAGTAGTATATTGCATTGTGTACAGGACTTCTGTTTCCTGCTCTCGACAAGGGCTGGTGGCCTGGGAATCAATCTGGCTTCGGCGGACACAGTTGTCATCTTTGACTCTGACTGGAACCCCCAGAACGACTTGCAGGCACAAGCCCGAGCCCATAGAATTGGTCAGAAGAAGCAGGTCAGTGGGGAGAGACATCTGGACATGGTTTGAGGGAGGCGGTAGAGGGGGTGTGTTATTTAGCCTTTTCAGGCTGTTTGTAAAATGCTTTTTTCCTGTTTTGCTTTCATTCCCCAAGAGTAGATGCCTGTCTGTTAACTAGTACAGAGAAGGTGTCTTTTTATTAGGGAACTGTTCTCTTTTCCTGTTTGAAAATTATGTTACAATGGCTTTCAGGTTTACTCCAAGAAAGAGCGATGATGAATAGATTCACAACTGGAATGTTTCTCTATTTTAATGTGGATAAGTTGTTAAATAATCTCTCATTGTTCAAGGTGGTCTACTTTTATTATACGCGTAGCTCTGAGCTACGTTGGGGAAATACATGCTTGTTTCCTTCACGTGAGAATCTTAAAGTCTGCTCTAGTATCGGGTAACTCCTAAGTTTCATACTTGGCCAAAGGTTTGGTTTTGGTGAAACTTTCCATCAGTGAAACTGATTATTCTTTAACAAAATTTTTATCATTAGAATAGGCTGTAATAACAGTTTTTTAGAGGCAGTTTTATTTAAGATTATAACCTGTTACAGTAAAAATATTGTATCTAGTTAAGCTGTCTGGATGAATGGCTTACAGGCATTTCTGGTAGAAGAGAATAAGTCTTTTCTATTTTTCCTCTTGGTTTTAGACAGGTAGCTTTTTTTTTTTGGTGATTAGGTATAAACATAACATTTTCTTTTTCTATAGGTAAATATTTACCGCTTGGTTACAAAGGGGACTGTGGAGGAGGAGATCATCGAACGGGCCAAAAAGAAGATGGTATTGGACCATCTGGTGATTCAGCGTATGGATACCACTGGCCGGACGGTTCTGGAAAACAACTCGGGAAGGTCCAAGTAAGTTCCAGGTGGAGGAGGTGGTCAGAGCCAAACTGTGATTTTACATCAGCATTTGATAGAATTCATCCTTCTAATAGGATTCTCTATAATTGACGTTACCTATTAATTACCTAGAAGAGGCCAAGCCAAGACCACGAGAAGATGTAATTTTCATTTTATCGGTTTTCTCTGTTGTTTCTTTTTTGCGTCTCAGCCCTGTGCTCATGTGGTCTCCCTCTGTCTTTCTTGCCCTTCTCTCTGGCCTTCTGCTTTTGGCTCTGTGTGTGACGTACGACACAGCAGCAGTGACCACTGTGTGTCCTCCATTAGGCTTTCATCCCAGCGCAGGGTTGCCTTGAACTTATCAGCAGTAAGAGTCTGCCAGATCGGGTTGGCAGGTGGTTTCTTACTATTGGTAAAAATGTTTGTGTGGAGATTGTTACTCTTCCTATTGAAAACAGAAGGGTGTAGAAGGAAAATAGTCAAGTTTCAATAGACTTTATTTAGAAGCACAACTATTTCTCTGACTGAGTTTACATTTTGACCAAATTGTTCAGTGTCTTCTGTGGCAGTCCTGCAGCTTGTGTCACAGGTGGAAATCAAATGAGCCCTTCCCTAAATAGAATATTTTCAGATACTCTTCCATTCAAGAGTAACCTAAATGGAAAAAGCTTAGTTCTTTTCTTTTCTTTTATTTTTTTAATTTATTTTTTTAAAGATTTTTTATTTTTTTTATTCATGAGAGACAGAGAGACAGAGACAGAGAGAGAGAGAGAGAGAGGCAGAGGGAGAAACAGGCTCCCAAGGAGCAGGGAGCCCGATGCGGGACTCGATCCCAGGACTCTGGGATCATGAAGGCAGACGCTTAACCATCTGAGCCACCCAGGCGCCCTAGTTCTTTTATTTTAGACCAGAGATGAGAAGGTTGAAAATTCTTGGTGAATGATAACTTCCTGAGTCAAAAGACAAAGAGCAAAGAACTCTCTTCTTTCATGTTGGTAATTAAGTTTCTTGCTTAATCATGTAATAGATGAGTCATCAGGAAAATAATTCATTTTCTAGTCTTCTGCTGGGTTAGGTTTACCATCACAGATGCATCCTGGGGATAAAAAAAAATGAAATCTTTGAGAGATCATTTTTCTTGGCAGAATTTATATTTTCACCAGTAATTTCGCCCCTTTATGAAGGGTAGCTATTTTATAGTAGAATTTCATGGTGGTTATTTGACATTCCTGAGAGATTACAACTACATTTTATTTTTACAGCTCAAATCCTTTTAATAAAGAAGAGCTGACAGCTATTTTGAAATTTGGAGCAGAGGATCTCTTCAAAGAACTGGAAGGGGAGGAGTCAGAGCCTCAGGTAATTAACAATGAGGAAAAAACTTTTTTGACAAGTATTTGTGAGAGTCTTAATTTTTCTGGAAGCAGATTTTGAATCTGTTAGAGGCTTTTATAAAGAATAGTAATTATTTGAAGGATATAGTTGGGTTTTTCTTTAATTATTATAGAGCTCAAAGCTCTTACTAAATAGAATAGGAAAGAGAAAAACATTTGAGGATTCTGTCCTTACTCTTTTTAATTCCAATTGTATTTTATGTAATCTCTGAAGTTCACCTTGTCATTTGTATAAATAATAGTTTGAGACATTAGAGGTACAGGATATAAATCGGAATACTGTAAAGGTAAATGGGATCCCAGAAAGGAGATTTGGTTTATTTGCACCAAGTGTTTTCAGTCCATACTGATCACTGTTGCCTGTTTACCATATTGTATTGTTGGTGTCCCTTAGGAAATGGACATAGATGAAATTTTGCGCTTGGCTGAAACCAGAGAGAACGAAGTGTCAACAAGTGCAACAGATGAGCTTCTGTCACAGTTTAAGGTATGGAAATTATTGTGGGAGGGAGTCCTCAGCATTGATTTATTAACTAATAATAACTAATGTCTGTGAGTACTTCCTATGTGCAAGGCGCTTTACCTTTTCCTTTACCTAACTTGACTCCTTTCTTTCTCCTCTGGAGTTCCAGGCGCGTTGTGAGTGTAGATTCAGTCTTCCGCATGGAGGTAATCGCTGACGTGGTCTGTCCTGCCCAGAGTCAGTGGACAGAGGAAAAGTCAGCAAAGAGGGAAGAATATGCATCCGTGGGTTAGGTGGAGACCCAGATAGTGTGGAGCTCTGGGAAGTTGGAATGTGTTATGGGAGAGACATTGATAGAATCTGGTGACAAAGAGAGGTCAAATGTATAAAACACAAGGTGACAGAAAGCTCTTGATGACTTGGTGATGGGCTTTTTTTTTTTTTTTTTTTTTAGTATCTGATATAACAGAAAATTAAATGAGATCAGGACTAAGTGCAGAAGCTGGGCACCAGATGAAGGAGGAGGTGGCAGCATTGAGTGTGGAGTTAATTTAAAAGCTCATAAAGAGAACAGTGAAGGTGATTTATGAGGATGGAAGAGTCAAGGCGAGGGTTTTGAAAGATGTTACAATGTCTCCAGGTTGAGGAAAGAGCTTGTGAGAATAGGGAGAGATTGAAGGTTCTAAGGAAAGAAGGAAAATTTGTTAGTACATTGCCTTAGAAGAGACTGGAAGGGATGTAATAAAAAACACAGGTGGCGCAGTTGGCCTTCAAAAAGAAAAAGGAAAATACATTTCAGGGAATAGGTGGGGAGAGAAGAGGTGGGATTCCTTCCTTCGTGACCATAATTCCCAGTAATTAAAGTAGAAATGATTTGGGACAGCCACAGGTGGTGCCGGGAAGGAGGAACTTGATAGGGAGTGAGCTGTATTTGGAAGGTAAGACTTCACATTGGAGCTGGTCAGCAGGGTCCTATGATTTTCTCCAGCAAGTACTTGAGGTCAGAGGGACTGATCATTTCATGGTCCCAAAGTGGAAGATGGGCTTGGGAGACTAAGGAGAGTCGAAGTGGCAAAGGTTTCCCAATCTCATGTGAGAGAGAATATGGTTGAAAGAATTGGCATGGGTTCGTTCCATACTGGTTAAAGAAGCAGGAGAGACCTGAAGGTTCCAGTGATGGTTAAGTTCAGTAGATTCTGTAGGATTGAGGGAGACATGGTGAGGTGTTTGGAAGGCAACAGTATTGTGTGATGAGATTCAGTGTTGGCCACAAGTAGAAGTTGTCTCAGAGGAAGAACACAGAAGGAACTGAAAAGACCAGAGAGCTCTAGGATCAGAGTCGGTGTGTTTTGAGGTTGAGGGTAAATTATTACTGTTTCAACTGGACTCCACTTCTAGGACTATTGCTCCCTTTTATTTTTTATTTTTTTAAAGATTTTATATATTTGAGAGAGAGAGAGAGAATCGAGTTGGGGAGGGACAGAGGGAGAAGCAGGCTCCCTGCTGAGCAGGGAGCCGGATTCTGGGCTCCGTCCCAGGACCCTGGGCTCCTGACCTGAGCTGAAGGTAGACACTTAGCCAACTGAGCCACCCATTGCTCCCTTTTAAAGAGAAGTAATCCTCATGATAATGTTTTAGTCAGAATATTTTATGATGACTTAAGTATAAAAATTTCTGCATATTAACAGGTTAATCAAAAGTGGTCAGCTGGTGACTTTTGCCTTGCCAAAGCTCTTTTGGCTGTTACATTTTAGCACCTGGTCAAGTGATTTAATTAACAGTAGGAGTCTGCCTACCTAGGGGCTCTTTTATTTCTGGAGTGCTTCAACTGAATTGACTTTGTTTTTTCCACTAACACTTTATTTTTTTTCCTTTCTCTCTCTCTTTTTTTAAACCCTAATTTAACATGTTGGAAACACAGTAAAGCTTTTTTTTTTAGATAATTTAAGATTATAATTTTCTTAAGTAATCATAACTGATACTTGTATCTCTTACTGTGTGTGTCAAGCCCTGTTACAACCATAGGATGAATCAGATATTATTTTCTTCATTTATAGATAAGGAAACTGAGGCACAGACAGGCTAAGTAGATTTCCTAAGGTTACACATATGTGGAGTTGTGATTACATTCTAGACAGGTAGTCTGGCCTGATTAATGTGGCCCTTAACCATTCTGCACCCTCAGAAAAGTTCATTTCCCAACTGCATGAACCACTAATATATATATATTTACATCATTTATGTAATTTTCGCCTGGCTGTTTTAAAAGTCAGATCTAAAGTAATTACCGATAGTACTTGATTTAAGAAATTGGTCAAATGATTCATTTTATAAAACAAAAAATGTTAAGTTTTCAGTCTAAGAAATTAACACTTGCTGTCTTTGTCTTGGAATTTAAAAAAATCTGATCGTGAAGATCATGGTATCTATGGTGGAAATTAGAATTAATTGTGGCCAAAAGTCATAATCTTCTGACTTCACTGTCCGTTCCAAATGACTTTGAGGAATGGAACCTCCAAAAGCTCTTTTGTACTTGATTGTAGCCTTAAAGACTAGGTGGGAAGGAATAAAAAGGATGTGGAGCCCATGCCTGGGGCTGCCCACCACTGCTCATAGGCCGGCCAGAGCTGGTAGATGTGTCTGTGTAACCACAGCTGAGTTTTTTAAATGCATACGCTTAGATGGTTTTCCTTCTGGGATATGTATATCTTTTCAGTACAAATTGATGCCAGATATTAAATATTTGGTATGTCATAAATGGGGTGTTCTTCTAGGTTTGTTTGAATTTTTTGCATTTTAAATTCTCATTTTTATTTCTAACAGTATACTTTGGAGTATATGAAATCATTACATACCTTTAGTTTCTGTACTTCTGATAAAAATGAGTAAGATAAGGTAGTTTGCTAGTGATTGCTAGGGCTTTGAAGTATGCATTGTTTCAAATGAGTGCTATTTAGTAGCAATTTATAATTTAGAACTGTAACTTCATAATGGATTGGTATTAAGTATTCAGCATTTGATAATCTTAAGTCAGTCTAAATTTTCCAATTAGTATCATATTTATTAGAAAATGTGTAGGATTTAGGGGCACCTGGGTGGCTCAGTCATTGAGCGTCTGCCTTCGGCTCGGGTCGTCATACCAGGGTCCTGGGATCGAGCCCCACATCAGGCTCCCTGCTCGGCAGGAGGCCTGCTTCTCCCTCTTCCACTCCCCCTGCTTGTGTTCCCTCTCTCGCTGTGTCTCTCTCTGTCAAATAAATAAAATCTTCAAAAAAACAAAAAAAAATGTGTAGGATTTAATAAGTCTTTCCATAAAGCTTGTAAGACAATTTATATCTTTATATCTGTTTCCCTAATTCTCAGTAATATTTCTGATGAACTTGAGGGTTTGGCAAGATGATTCGAGGGGAGGATAAGGGAGAGATAGCAGAAAATTGATTATCATAGGAGTTCTGATATTACACATAGTGTCTTAACTTAGATTAAAAATGCTGGGTGAGTTGGTGTTTCACCAGGCAGTGTTTGGGAAACAGGGACGTGTCAGACAGTGAGTTGTCCATGTTCTAAGGTTGCCAACTTTGCGACAATGGAAGACGAAGAAGAGCTGGAAGAGCGTCCTCACAAGGACTGGGACGAGATCATTCCGGAGGAGCAAAGGAAAAAAGTTGAGGAGGAGGAGCGTCAGAAGGAGCTAGAAGAAATTTACATGCTGCCCCGAATTCGGAGTTCCACCAAAAAGGTGATTGAGTGAGGTGAAAGATAAGAAGGACCTCTTCTGTTGTAAAGGCTACAGAAGTGCTAGTTATTCAAGGAGGCTTGGCATTGTTGCCTGGGGATGGGAGGCAGTTATAACGAAACCGTGGAGGGAGATGGGAAACTGTGGTGTGCCCCTGCGTACATCTGTGGGACATTTGATCTTTGTAAATTGGCTCTGGGTAAGGTAGATGGCTGGGATTTGAGTTTGGCAGACATTTGCAGTTTGCTGTTGAGATCAGAACCAATAATCCTAAAGATTTGGTTCTAAATGACAGTGCCTTTGACTTTCAGAGGCCAACCTCTTTTTCCCTTTAAGTATTTGTTCGTGGCACTGGTTTAAATACTTACTGTAAGAGACTAACTGTAAACGAAGAACATACACATACTTCACAGCTTATAAAGAACCGTTATAAACATGATCTAATTTGATTTTTGCAACAACATTGAAGCAGGTAGAATAAGTTTTATCACCCAGTTTGTTTGGACATAGTAGATTTGTCCAAGACCAGAGCAAATCAGTATTAGCTAATAGTAGCTAGTATTGATTGAGCACTAATTGTGTGCCAGGCATAGTTGTGCTGTTATACCTACTGACTCACTTAATCGTCATGCAAACCCAAGTAATAGTTAGTTATCCCCATTTTACAAATGGAAAACAAAGTCACAAAGGGGTAACTTACCTAAGGAAGTAAACATGAACCTACAATTCAAATATTTTTATTCCACTTCATTTGTCATTACGTCACAGTATGTCTCCGGAAAGGTGACTGTCCCAAGCAGGTCTTCCTTCTTTACGTGACACCTGCCTCCTTATTTTCATAAAGGAAAATGGACTTTGACATGATGAAAAGTTCCCGAGTATTAAAGAATTAAGATGGGCTGAATTAGTCCTTTTCCCTCTTGCACCTGGCACTTGCTACAATGTGACTTTGCCTTTTCAGGCTCAGACAAATGACAGTGACTCTGACACTGAGTCTAAGAGGCAGGCACAGAGATCCTCTGCCTCTGAGAGCGAGACAGATGACTCTGATGATGACAAGAAGCCAAAGCGCAGAGGGCGCCCCCGCAGCGTGCGGAAGGACCTTGTCGAGGGGTTTACCGATGCAGAGATCCGCAGGTCGGTGGAGCTCTGCTCTCTGTCTGGGGTGTGTGTGGAGGGTGTGCTGTGAGCCGTGGGTTGATGGCATTCCTGACACTGAAGACAGGGTGGGCAGAGGCTGGTACCTGCAAGGAAGGCAGGGGCCAGAGTCATGCCCCAAGTCTCCAGAGGTTCTACCCTCTAGGGTTTTCCTCGCTTGAGCACTCTCTCGTCATTTGCTCAGCTCTTCTTGTTTTCTTCCTGTTCTCTGGTTACTCTGAGCATTTTCACAAAGAAAGCCCAGCCAAGGCAAAAGAGACAGTTGGAGGCAGACTTGGGCTGAGCCTTCCTTATTTGTTTTTATTTACAAATAGGAATACATACATGAAAACATACATAGAGACACACACGTGTCTATGTATATAAAAGAAAGAGTATGAATATAAAAAATGGATAAACCCTGCCTTCATACCCCTCGTGTCCCCAGTTCAGTTCCTGTCAGTGTTAGTACTGATACCAGTGTGGTGGTGGTTGGTTTATTAGTAGCACACCCGGCATACTGTTTTGTAGTCTTTTTCCACCTGTAGTTGATTTTAGATATCTACTGTCCATACTTACTGCGCATTTGTTGGTATTTAATTCACAGACATCGCCTTCCAAGAAGATCTAAAATTATTGCTTCCAAGCCATTTTTCCAAACACTTTGCATGATATTTTTTATTTTAGGCTGAAGAAAATAGTATGAAGGTAGCCTTATGATCCAATCCATACTATATCAGATAGTTCTCTAGGTCAGTGTACTTTAAATCATGAAGTCTTTATTTTCCCCTAAATGTTATAATTATTCTTTTCTTCTTTCTTTGTTTAATTTATTACGGAAAAGTGTAAATATACACAAACATTGAAAGAATAGGGTATATACCCCCCATACTTATCATGTTATCATCTTAACCATTTTGAATTTGTAGTCAGTCTTCTATGTAACATCCTCTCGCCTACTACCCTCAGTATTATTTTGAAAAGAATGTGTATTCTGCTGTAGGTGGACACAGTGTTCTACAGATGTTTGTTTGATTCTGGGTTATCTGAGTCTTCCATTTCCTTATTGATCTTCTGCCTGGTGGTTCTAGCCATTATTGAAAATGGGGTGTTGAAGTCTCTACCTGTTATTGTTATATTGTCTAGTCTTCCCTCTGCTTTGGTCAGTTTTTGCTTCATGTGTTTTAGGGCTCTGTTTCTAGGTGCATGCATTTTATAGTTGTTGTGTCTTCTGATGGATTGGCCCTTTTATCCTCACAAAATATCCTTTTTTGTCTCTAGAAATAATTTTTGTCCTAAAGTTCATTTTTAAAAATCTGATATTAATATAGCCACTTCAGCTCTCCTTTGGATATTGTATGCACATTATCTTTTTCACTTCAGTATGCCTTTCTTTGAATCTAGCTTGTGTTTCTTAAAATATATAGTTCTATTATTTTTAAAAAATCTATTCTGTCTCTTCCTTTTGATTGGAGTCTTTAATCATATTTACATTTCATGTAATTACTGATAAAATAGAATTTATGTCTGCATTTGCTGTTTCCTTTGTCTTGTGTCTTTTTTGTTCCTTTATTCCCCCATTACTACCATCTTTTGTGTTATGTATTTTTTAATACACCATTTTAATTCCCTTGTTTTTCTTTGTGTTTCTTATTATTCTCCTGTATAGTTTCTTTTACTATATTTTCCAAGTTATTTTTCTAGTGGTTGCCTTGGAGATTATAATTAGTACCTTAACTTGGGATTGTTTAGTTTGGATTATCATCAACTTAATTCCATGGTATATTAAAATTTTACTCCAGTATAACTTCATTCCTTTCCCCTCTTCTGTGTCACTGTTGTCACAGAAGTTATATCTTTACCCTTTATAAGCCTGTCAACACAGTTTTATAATTATTGCTTTATGCAGTTGTTTTTTAAAAAATCAGAAGAAAAGACTTACAAACAAATACATTTATGCTGTCTCTATATTTATTTATTCAGTTACTCTTAGTGAGGCTCTTACTTCTTTGTGTAGATTTGAGTTACGTTTTGGTGTACTTTGATTTCTGCCTGAAGGACTCTTTAGTATTTTAGGGCAAGTCTGGTAGCAGCAAATTCTTTATTTTTGTTTATCTGGGAATGTCTTAATTTCTTGTTTTGGAAGTCCATTTTTTAAGTTCAACTTCTGGAGTTCCTCAGGGACCATTTTCATTGATTGCTTTTTTTTTTTCTGTATATGGGCCTTACTTTTTTGTTTTTGTGTTTTCCATAATTTTTTGATGAAAACTGAACATTGTAACTAATGTGGCAAGTGTGGAAATCAAATTTCCCTTGACAGCCAGTTTGTTGTGTTTGCTGTTTGCTTTTTGTTCATTTAGTAACTTTCCTGGACTAATTCTGTGTAGTAACTTTCCTGGACTAGTTCTGTGAAACTAGTCTTTGTCATGTGGTTTCAAGTCTCTGCTCATCTAGCTTAGCCATTAGCTAATGGTTGGACAGAGATTTCCTGAAGTGCCTTGAGCCAGTAAGTCTACCAGCCTTCGCTGAAGGGCTCCGTGTGTATATCGGGGGCATGTTCTCAATGCTCTGGCAGGCGTTGTACAGCTCTGCCTTACCCTTCAGTTCTTGCTTGCGCAGAGCCCTGGGCCGGCTGGAGGTGAGAGATGAACAACCTGTCAGGTAGGTCTTTTCCTGTGCACTCACATAGGCTTGCTCATGTGTGATTTTATAGATTCTCAGGAACATGTCAGCTTTTCAGAGCTCCCTGTGGACATTCCCATCAGTTTTCCCTTTTCAGGTTTTGGTCATCCTGTTCTTATCCCAACCCGGTAATGTTGCCCGAAGCAGCTGTGGTCTTAAACCTTTGCTTCTAATTGTTTTCACCAATGAACTATGGACAGTAGTTTTCACAGAGAGGTCAAGTAAAGCAAGCCTGAGAATGGAGCTTCTCAGGGTGTTGTCAGGTCAAATAGCACTGTTCTTGTGGAATAGAGCTTTGGGGTAGGTCTAGACCTGTTCTGCTGCTGCTTTGGACAACCACTGTAGTTGAAAGGTGTTGGTTTCAAGACTGTCATGGAGCGTGGAGAGAGGAGCAAGTTAAAATGCCAGAGAGCTTTCAGTTCCTACTTGAGATCCAGCCATTTGCTTGAGTAAACGCTCCTTAGATGGTTGCAAGCCTTTGGTTAATTTCAAGTTCTAACAAAGTCCATCTTGACAATATTTTGCCAGTGTTCTTGTTGCTTTTATGGAGGATCAGATTTTCAGAGGTTCTTACTCCACCATTCCAGAAATGCTTCTCCCTCCTAGTATTATTTCGAACTAACTCCCAAGTACCTTATTTCACACATAAAATATTTCAGTATATATTAAGAAGGAGAAATGAAGAGTTGAGGAATAAGCTTCACGTTCACTTTCCCATGTAATGCTTTCCTAATCCTTGCGTCCATGCTGTTCCTTTAGTATTGTTTCTCAGCTAAGGGCCTACTCATTTCCGTCCCCTTTTTCTTTAATGGCTATGTTCTCTGTTGTTTCCATTTATCCCCCCATAGTATCTCGCCTTACACTGTTACCTAACCAGAGGACTTTAGTAATGTGGCTGATTACGTGATGACTGTGATGTAGCGGATGACACGGTTGGTGTGTAGTATAGGGTAGAGACTTGTGGTAGGATTGATTGGATTTTTGTTTGGAGACAGGGTTGGGCAGGAGGAGTCAGCAGAGTTTCCAAAATAGTTTTGTCTAAGAAGTTTTAAATCACATATTTATTTTACTTTGCCTTATTCCCAAAAGTATTGAGGCAGTCTTAAAAATCTTATAGTTGTGTCATTGACCAGAAAATAATAAATATTACTTTATGGAATCGGTAGTAACAGTAACCCATAGAGTGGTTAACCATATTGGGATCTTATCACAGGAGTTGTGGTTGAATCATTTATTACGTGTTGAACTCCGTGAACTTGTACCTTCTAAAACGGGTAATATTAGATTTAGGTCACTGTTCTCTGTTAAAGTCCCTTAACATTTTCTTGATCAGTCACTGAGAATAACATTGATCTTTAATTTGACTGCATCTTTAGCACTCATTATTTTAAGTGGACCAGTTTCAAAGACATTCAGCATTCTTTTATTTCGTGGCAGTTTCGTGGTTTGGGCTCAGTCTGTTTTGACACAGTGTGTGTGGCATATTTCACCACAGGATATGTTTGCAGTAATAGAGCTAAAGCGTCTGTTTTTTAATGCGTTTTATTGATCATGTTCTCAGGTTCATCAAGGCATATAAGAAGTTCGGTCTCCCTCTTGAACGGTAAGCTCCTTACCCACCTGTTCTTCATTTTTATTATGTAGTGGCCTTTTTTTTGGGTACTATTTTCCACTTAATTCTAATGCTGGGAATGTTTTTTCATCCTGGAAACATTCTTTTACAAATATTTATATATTGTGTGATTGTACATGTCCTTTTGGGGAGGGATGACAAAGATGACCATCTATACAGAGATTTTGCTTGAAGAACATGAAGCAAGTATATGCAAAACTGTAATACAGAGAAATAATTTCCAGAAGAGATGTTCAGATAATTCCATTTGGAAGAATGCACGTATTTAGTATTTGCATCCTAGTTCTTATTTAGTAATGTAAATTTGTGATTTTTTAACTTTCTGCTTCTTAGTATAGTGTCATGAGGATTAAATGCAAGTAACTTTTTAACCCCTTGCCAGCAGTAACTACTAAAGGGTTGGCTGTCCTGTCTTAACAAGCATTCAGGAAATGAACTCAGAAGTTGGATTTTAACAAAAGACTATGTCAGCTAGTTCAGTACTTTGCTTTGTGCAGAATCAGCAATATGTCCTGTGAATAATAGTACTGACTTGAAGGAAATAGCAGATGTCTTTCTCTTCTTCCTGATAAACCTCTGGAGTAGAGGAAGATTACGGCCTGTGTGTTTGCCTCTCCGTTTGGAGAGGAAGCAGTGATGGGTAGCAGTAGTAACAGTGAGGCCAAACAAGTCAGGTGCACCTTTCCAGGGTTGTTGCTGGCCACCCAGGATGGAATGCTTGCCTGTGAGCCAGCGACGATAAAAACTACCAGGGTGTGGAAAAGTGCATCTGGCCCCTTCTGGCAGACTGATTTTTAGACATTAATGTGTTTACATGCTGCATATGAGATCAGTGAAACATATTGTGGAAGTAAGTGTACTTTGCTTCTAGGAATATTGTAATGAATGAAAGCCTGGAGGAAGGAGCAGAGGAGTGCAGACAGTCTTGGCACTTCATTTGCTGCCATCGTCAGGCAGCCCATCTAGTTAGTAAGGAAAGCCGACTCTTCTCCGCTGTATTCTTTGAAATTACACTGTGGACTGTTCCAAAGCACAGTTCTTGATGATGGAAAATGAGTGAGTTAGCCCTCAGTCACTATTGGAGGCTTCTTGTTGGATACTTGGTCTCATACAAGCTTGCTCCTGCAAAGACATTCTTCTCAACTTACTGATCATTCCAAGTGGTATCTCATGGGACATTAGAAAAGTGGGCGCAGGGCATTGATGTGTTCCCCATATTTGATCTTCCTCAGGCTGGAGTGCATAGCACGCGATGCTGAGCTGGTGGATAAGTCCGTAGCAGATCTGAAACGCCTGGGAGAACTGATTCACAACAGCTGTGTGTCAGCAATGCAGGAGTATGAAGAACAGCTGAAGGAAAATGCCAGCGAGGGTAAGTTCTCCCAAACCCGGCACTTGTGGACTGGGAATTGTGCTGCTAAGGGGCTTTGTTTTTGAAGAACAGACTTCTATCCCATGCGTCCCTAATCCTTTGAGGTGTGTATTCTGACCTGCCTTTATGTGAGCTCAGTGTTGTAAGATCCTCAGAGAACTCACAAACAAAGTTGATTTGCAGAAGGTGGAGAATGGAGAGTAATGAGCAACGAGAATGATTTCTTCTGTTGTTGCAACAGAAACCTTAGATTGGTTTGAATGATGTGAAGACCCAAGGGGGCAAATCGAGTGGATACAAGTGTATTTTGACTGCAAATGAGGACATTAGATCACAAGCATCACTAGGCATCTTGGATATACAAATATGGATTGTGTTAGGTAAACTTAAAGGATTTTAGGGAATTAATTGGAATAAATAAAATATTGGGTGAATATTGTAAACGTTTTTGTTACACTGAGATTTTCATGGCACTAGAATTTGTTATAATTGGGCTGGACAAGTTATACCCTCACAATGGTCTCATTTGCAGAGGGGAATAACAGGGCCTGCCTCAGAGGATTTGGGTGATTCCTGGCTAATTCCATTCACAAGAAGTGCTTAGTATGGTGTTCATTAATACCAGGAAAGAAGTATTTGAGCTTTCGATTTTCTTATTAATGATATTATTGAAGGTAGTAGAATTTTAAAGTGTCTTAAATAGTCAAAACTTTCATTGGGTGTATTTTCCATTTTTGTAAAAGAAATTGACGTGGTTTGGACAGTGATTCGAATACATGCTTTTATAGGGCACTCAGAATACAGCCAAGAGTCAACTTGAAGTTTACCATGTTTTCATTTTTCATTGTAATTGTTGTGAATAAATTACACATTCACATGGTTCCAAATTGAAAAACCGGTATCCCTATTTCTTGTACCTTTCTAGAAATGAGAAAGTGCATATTACAAAAAGTGAATAGAGTGTGTTTTTTCCCCTTATTACACAAATGCAGCAAGCACCCTCTTCTAGAAGCACCTTGCTGTTTCCATCTCACAATATATCTTGGAGATAGTTCCTTGTAACAGTCGCCTGCCTCCCACATCCCTCTTTTTTCGATGTATGTTCTGGATCTGGCTGATTGCTTCCTCCTGCCATTGTGTAACTCGTTGCCCTTACCTGTATTTGCCATGAACTGGTGTTTAGTGTACTCTGGATCCAGGATGGCATTTCTAATTCAGATTCCGATTATTACTTTTTTAAGATTTTTCATTTGAGAGAGCGCGAGCACATGAGCAGGGGGAAGGGGGAGCAGGAGAGGGAGAAGCAGACTCCCCGCTGAGCAGGGAGCCTGATGCGGGACTCGATCCCGGGACCCTGAGCTGAAGGCAGACACTTAACCGACTGAGCCCCCAGGCGCCCCTATTGTTCCTAAAAGTGTTAACATGATTATGTATTTGTCCTATCCTACATTAGACGAGTTTCTAAACGTCAGTGCCAATCTTACTGCTCAAAATAAAGTTTTGTTCTGTTTTGTTTTTTGGTCTTTGGAATACATCCCACTAGCTCTGTGCAGTTAAAATACCATGTTTTAAAATTATTAGAAGTTCTTTTCTCTGTATAGTTAGGCCACCAACTTAATAGATAGTACAGTCTTTTTCATTTCATTTATTTTCAGTTTTTAGGGATTGCTTTTCTCATTTTGACTTAACTTTGAAACACTTGCATGGCCCGAAGTCAAAACTCTGAAACAAGGTACATTTGGAGAACCTTACTTGTGTGCCAGCAACTCCCCCCCGCCCCCGGCCCCCGCCCAAGTCCTGCTTTCTGCTCCTCTCATAGGTCACCATTTCTATTAATTTGGGGTTTATCTTTTCACTGTTTCTTTGAAAGAATTTCGGTGTGTGTGCCCCTCTTCTATAGAAGATAGCATATACCATGTATTGTGTTTTGCACCTATGTATTTTCACGTGTGGAGATCACTCCCTATCGTGTAGAAATGCTCTTTCCTTTTGTAATTGCAGTGTTCCACCACTTAGGTGGATCTTCATTCAGACTTTATTGTTCCTGAATAATGAATATTTGGGTTGTTTTTAGTCTTTGGCTGTTACAAAGACAGCCGCAATGAATTCGTAGTCTAATGGATATGCTGTTTTGTATCTCTACGAACATGTCTTCTGGATAGATTTCTGGAAGTGGGACTGCTGGGTCCTGGGGAAGCATGACTTGGTTGGATTTTACCAAACTTTCCAGCAGTCTGGTACCATAATTTATATTGCCACCAGCAGTGGATACTGGTGCTTGTTTACAAGCCTCACAAACAAGAGGGTATTGTCAAATGGTTGGTTTTTTTGCCAAACTAATAGGTGAGAAATGGTATCTTGTTTTTCTTCTAATGAGTAAGATTGTGACTGTTTTCTAAGAGCCATTTGTGAACCACCCATTTTCTCTTCTGTCCATTTTCTTAATTTTTAGGATTTCTTTTTCTGATTAAAGTTGCTGGTTTTCTCCTATAGTTTGTGATTTGTCTTTTTACTTTGCTAATGGCATTTTAAGAAAACTTAGAAGAAATTTTTTAAATGTATCAGTCTTTTACCTTATTGTGTTCAGATTTTGAGTCAGTTAAAAACATTGCCTCTACGCCCAGTATAAACAGGAATTCACTGTGACTTTCTCCTCTTGTACCTGTGTGATTTCATTTACTTTTATATCTCTGATCCACTTGGAGTTTTTCCTGGTGTATCCAGTTTTATTTATTTTTCTATATGGTTACTATATGTTTCAATGCCGTTAAAAATGGTTGGTCTTTTCCCCACTGCCTGATTTTTTTTTTTTTTTTTAAAAGACATGCATAATCCTGTTAAGGGACATTTCAGCTATATAATCTCTTGCTTTAGTATTGTGGTAGATAATTTTGTATACACGCGATTTTGCACTGTGCTCTCCCACCAGGCATTGAATGAGGGTGTCTGTCTGCTTTTGGTCTCATCAACGTAATGTTTTCAAATTTTTGAATTTTTCAACGTGACAGGTTAGAAATGGTATGTGTCTATATTTAATTTACATTTCTCTCATCAGGAGTGAGGTCAAGTATTTTTCAAATGTTTAGGAATCATTTGTTTTTTCTTCTCTGAATTGTCTCTTTACCTTTGCCTGTATTTCTGCTGCAATCCTTTTGCTTTACAGATGAGGAAACTGAGACCAGAGAGGTCAATAACTAGAAGTGAGAGGGGAAAAGAGAAGGGAGGAAGGGGGACTTTGTGCACATTTGGGAATAAATCCCAGATTTCTGATTTTTAGGAAAGTGCCTCTCTCATTTTCACACATTCTGTTCCAGCTGTCTTCAGAATTGTTGGGAATAGCATTTGCAAGTGAATTCTAGAGGATTACAGGAGAATATCTAAATATTTATGATTATAGCACCGTTTCATCAACTTGAATGTTAAAAAACCTTTTCTCAGGCTCTGAGCCATCTTTCCCTCACAGACAAGTGTCATTATCTTGTGCCATCATCTTGCCAACATCTGGCTAGAGTTGACTGGGTTTCATTTTTAATTCTAGGATTATTTTAATTTGGCACTAGGGCTAAGGAAATCTTTCCATGACACCTCTTGTTCATCATTTCAAATGGTATTAACTTGATGTCCTATTTTTTTTTAGTAGAGAAAATCATCTTTAAAACACTTGAGTTTTCTTGAACTCTGTTAGTAGGATAGTTAGAAAACAAAACAAAACAAACTTCAGTATTACTACTAATCCTACAGAATCTTTTTTACTTTCAATTTTAGAACCAAAGTCTAAAATAGATAGGAAGATTAAAATAGAATTACAAATACCAGTGGATTAAAAAAAAAATCCAAAATCTTAAAAAGCTTAATTGTTTAGAGATCATTTTATGAACGTTAATTGAGAAACTTTTTTGACTTTATGTTACATCTTTGAACTAAAAATAAGCCAGAGATCTATATCAAGTGAGTAAGCCTTCAGGGTTTGCCGATAATGTTTCCTGGGGAATTCCAGCAAGTTCTCACTTAACTGATAATGTGAAATTCGTATCCTTTAGGGAAAGGACCGGGGAAAAAAAGAGGCCCAACAATCAAAATATCAGGGGTTCAGGTTAATGTGAAATCCATTATACAACATGAGGAAGAGTTTGAGATGCTGCATAAATCGATCCCTGTGGACCCTGAAGAAAAAAAAAAGTGAGTCTATTCTGTGCACATGCATGAGTGTTTGTGCTATAAGAAAGAGTTGAAGTTCTAGTTGTGCGTTATGTAGTGTTTTCATTGTCTTTTGTGTAACGCATCAGGATACTTTGTCCGTGTTCATTTGTGTTCATTTCCAAGTTCGAAAGGCCTCTCCTCTCATGTCGTCCTGTTTCTGAAATCCCTTTAGATACTGCTTAACCTGTCGAGTGAAAGCTGCACATTTCGATGTAGAGTGGGGAGTGGAGGATGATTCGCGACTCCTGCTGGGAATTTATGAACATGGCTATGGAAACTGGGAGCTGATTAAAACAGATCCAGAGCTTAAGTTAACTGACAAAGTAAGTAAATCTGTGATGCTGGAGATTTCCAGAAGATTTGTTACATACAATATTTTTGTATCGATAACGTATTTTTAACTATTTTCTGGGGGGGGCGGGGGATCAAATCGGAAATCAGTACAGTAGTAACATTCCTGGGATTTCTTTGTTTTGGGGAATATCACCATCTTTAGTGGACTGTGGAACTGTTAGATGAAGATGATAGCCAGGTGAAGTTTTGGGGAAATCACAGGAGAAATCTTAAAATTCTAATTCTTATACGTCCAATCTCATTGCAACAAATACCAGGGTAAGATTATTAACTATTAAGGATTCCTCGGCCTTAAATGTTGGCCTCTTGTTTAAAACTGTATTTGAAGCTGTCGTGTTTCAGTTCTCCACACAAAGGAGCCATACCTTGGTATTTTTTGTAATGGAATTAAATATTGGCCGTACTTCTCCCACAAAATCGAGCCTCCCACCCTATCCGTTGTGAATCAGGCTACCAAGTAGTAAGGCCATGCTCAGAGCTGTAAGCAGGGAAAGCTGACTGGCTCAAATTTTAGTAGGATGCGCTCCATGTTGTGCTCCTGGCAGGGCTTTTCCTGGCACGTCAAACAATGCTCATCCCATGTGTGATGTTCTCAGAGGGTGACAGCACCCCGCCATAAGCACTGAGACCAAATCCAGTCTGGCCTGAGAGGTCTAGCTGGGGTAGCAGGGACGGATCATGTCCTGGCATAGCTCAGTGCTCTCCGGCAATGCTCTAAGAAGCATTTTCAATCTAAAACGAAGCTTTAACCTAGCTCCAGGGATTCCCTGCTCCTGGAAGGAGGAAATCCACGACGGCTGGGATGCTCTAGCAGATGAAGCCAACAAGCCCCTCCTACCTGAGTTGTTCTACCCTGTTAACAGCACAGGTAGGAGCCAGTGGGAGAGCTGGATTTCTCCATCCCATTTTGTAAAACGAGAACGGCTCATAAGGGATTTTCAGTGACTGGGAGCCATGGACATGAGATAGGATCTGAGGCTTTATCTGTATTTTGGGTGGTTGGGGAGGGAAAGGACTGCTCAGTTCTTTGTTGTCTCTGTGTATCCTGATCCACTAACCGGGACATGGGTGGTGGCGGGTGCTTCTCTTCCTTTCCTGTTGAAGATTCTGCCTGTGGAGACAGATAAAAAGCCTCAGGGGAAGCAGCTGCAGACCCGAGCGGACTACTTGCTGAAGCTGCTCAGGAAGAGTCTGGAGAAGAAGGGGGCCGTGACGAGTGGGGAAGAGGTGAGTGCGGCTGCCAGCTGGGCATCCTTCAGAGGGCCGAGGCTCCAACCCTGCAGAATTAGGGAGGAAAAGCGCTGCCTGCCCGCTCCAGGCGCTGCATAGAATGGTACCTTCCCACAGCCGGGTGTTGCTTTTGAGGTTCCAGTCATGATGGTTTGGTTGGTGATAATAGAAATGTTCATTTGATAATTGGCAACTCTCTTAGATGCCTATTCTCCTCCAGTTTTGCCTCAAAATAGTCCTCACCTCTGCATGTGCCATTGGTCCAGACATACGTTGCTGTTTCTTTATGCTGCTTCCTCAGTTTTGGAACATAGTTGTGGTTACTGTATGAATACCACCAGGTTTACCTGGTACAGTTGACTCTGGGCTGCTTGTAATGATGGGTCCCAGAGGTAAAGTATGGATCGTTAGAATCTACAGTTAATTCAGAAACTGACCTTCAGTTACGACTGCCTTACTTACTCAGTACAGAATACCAACGAAATTGCTAACGAACTCATCTGAACTTTATCTGCTTTTATTTTCCCAATTTTTCATTTCAAAGTCAGGCCTAGAAAGGTGGGAATCACAGTGAGATGTTACATCTGGTACTAGCAATCTTTGTTGGGTGCGTGTTCGTAGTGCTCTTAGAGCTCTACCATTTGCATTAATTTCCCTATATTATAAACAAAATGAATTCTAGGGGAGAAAAATCACCATAATCCTGTCCCTTGTCCTTTTTCATGTAATAGTGTCATAAGTAGTGTCATTCTCCAGATAACACGCGCATGAATTACACGTTAGGTTCTGGAGGGGAGGGATTTAGATCATATTTATACTTGTTTTAGATTTCTGTATCATATTAGAGTGGATTGAGAGCATTTTATCTTTTACCTTAATTTTTAGATAGACCATACATCTGGATTTTTTAATGTTACTCTTAAGTCTCATATATTTATTTGTGTCTTTGTGCATAAAAGTACTTTTCCTTTTTTTGAATTCTGTCTTCAGCATGAATTTTGAACACGAATCAATAGATTCAAGGATATGGATGCTTTTATGTGGTGTAGGGACATGTACAGGGCCTACGTTACTGTTTTCCTTTTTCTCCCCTGGGTAAAATTGGTTGCACTCCTTTGAATTGCCTCTGAATTTTCTCGTTTGAGTTACATGGCCATTACTGGTCTGAAGAGCCATAACGTTTTTTGGTCATGCTTCTTGAGATTTGTGGTTTTACCATTTTCTCTCCTTTCCAGGCCAAATTAAAGAAGAGGAAGCCTCGAGTAAAGAAGGAAAACAAAGAACCCAGGCTGAAAGATGAGCATGGGGTTGAATTTTCATCTCCTAGACACTCAGACAATCCGTCGGAAGAGGGAGAAGTGAAGGTATGCGGCTGGATTTCACTAGAGGGTTGTCATTTAGGCTGTATTTATCGTGCCAGCTGGTGTAAAACCATTCAAATGTGTTTGGTGTACATGCAGAGTCAATAAAGTGGAAACAGAATAGATATGTCTCTGTTTACCGTGTGAGAGCGATTTGTTCATTTAAGCCAGCCGTCACAGATTCATAGGTACTGGAAGACAGTGAAGGGGGAACCATGCGAGGTGTAATGATAAATGGCCCGTGACACCCAGCCTTGTGATTGAAAAAGGAAGGGAGCGGTGGTGGGGACTGCGGCTCACCAGGGGCCTCATGCCTGTGCAGTTGAGTTCACCATGGGCCAACAGAACACATCTGTGGGTCAGATTTGGCCCAGGGCCTGCCAGTTTGTGACCTCTCGTTTGAGTAAAGTGAAAAATTTGTAGCATTCAGTGTGTTTTTTCAGTGAGTGATAGCTTTATGGGATTTTATGTCATTGCCCTTCGAGTGTGATTGTACTTTGAGATTAGCTCCAAGAGGATCAGCAGTGGGGACAGAAACTGCATGAATTTGTCATGCACACATAAATGCAAAAAGTAGTAGCAACGTGACAATTATTAGGTGGCAGATTTATAATATCTCTGGTCCTCAGTTCTTTCCATCTGTGAAATGGGGATGATAATGCTTATGGTTGAAGGGTTGCCATGAGAATTAGAGGATGTGAGTTGCAGAGCGTCTGTTTCTACCGGCTGACCTGGTTATTACCAGCAGGCTTAGAATTGTAGGGGCAAGTGCTTTGGGCTGTGTGCTTGAAAACAAGCTTCTACGTGTAGATGCAGGTATGAGCTACTGTGGACAGTGCTTCTCTCCCCAGAAAGTCGATGAGTAGATCTAAAGTTTGTGGCAAAAGCTCACAGTCCTGTTTGTTTTCTAGGATGACGGCTTAGAAAAAAGTCCAATGAAAAAGAAACAGAAAAAGAAAGAGAACAAGGAGAACAAGGAGAAACAAACGAGTTCCAGGAAAGACAAAGAAGGGGACAAGGAAAGGAAGAAGTCGAAAGAGAAGAAAGAGAAGGTATCCGTGTCCTTCTGCTTACCGATATGCCCACAGCCTCTGAAATTTCTTCTAGGACTTAGAGAATGGGGCTTGAGCGTCCTGAAATAATCGCCTCTTTAAGGGTACATCCAGGAAGGAAGGATGGGCGGTCAGAGGGATGCCTGCTCCTCTTCTTACAGAGAGGGGAACGTGCAGTTGTGGGGTATTTTTTTTTTTTTTTTTTAATACAGGTCTTTAGTTGATCTCTTATACGTATTTCAGAGGGGAAGTTTTGATGAGATAGGACAGGTGAGAGAGAGCTGCATTTACAGGTAATGATGTGAAATGTGTCCATCCTCATATTCACGGTAGAAGAGTTTCATAGATGAATTTGAGTATTTGAAAACTTGAGGAGTCAACCCAAATATATCAAGAGAAGCTTTTGGAGTAGAAATGGATGAAAAGCCCTGCTATTAAATCTTCACTTTGGGACTTTTGTGAGGTTAATTCCAAACCACAGATTCTGGTAGAATGTAGCACGTATGCTTGCTGGCTCCTGATGAAATTATTTTGCCATTAACCCTTAATCATTAAAACATACAAACAAGTAACTGCTATAATTCCACCATCCAGTGATAATCTCTAGTAAATTTTTTGATCTTTGGAATTTTTGTCTTATACGTATAAGTACAAAATGAAGATCAAATCAGATTCTGAGTAGCCCTTTCTCCCCCCGAAGCAGTACATCAGAAACAACTTTCCCAATGAGTAAATAAGTGTTAAAATCACTTTAAATAGATAAAGAAGATTCTCTTTGATTATAACATCTTGGAAGCAATGTAGACTTCCCATATTGAAATCACTTTCATATTTCTTACGTTAGGAAACCTGCTATGCCAGATACCTTTGCATTTCTGCTCCCACAGAAAGATACTCTTTTTTTAAGGGAAATATTTCCAAAATAAAAGCACAGAGAGCCTTTTACCAAGCATCCACTCGTCCACCACCCCAGATAGAACTATGGCCAACATTTTTTCACATTTACTCTTAAGTGCCTTTTGTTGGGCTGGTGTATTTTGTGTTTTGTGCACATCTTACCAACACTGTTGAAGCGCCCCCCCCCCCAATTCCTCTTTCATGATTTCATTATTCTGCCTCTCTCCTTTTTCCTCCCATGGTTTGAGACCTTTCCTATCCATGTTTTTATACTTCTACTATATATTACACAGTCGTAATAAAAGTAGAGTATTTTTTTAAATGTTCATACACAAAGTCACCTCCATCCTTCTGCATCCTTTCATGGATAAATGAGATTTATTCATGTGGAGTCATGTACATTTCAGTCATTTACAGCACTGTAGTTAATACAGATTATTAGGTCAAAGTGTACGATTATAAGCTGTTAATAAAAGTTGCTGCATCATACTGTACAAGAGCTCTGCCAGTTTATTATAATCTCCACCTGTTGATGTTTTTGTGCATTTTATGGATGAGGGAATAGAAGCCAAAACAGCATTGTCCTGAAGCTGAAGTTCTAATTGGGTGCGTTTGGAGACAGAAATGGAAGTGATGTATGATTAAGCCATTCATTAATCACGTAGATTTGATTACATGATGTTTCAGAAGACTTTATCTTTTTTGTAAACTGAGCCTGTCACATTTGCCCTGGAGTGATGTAACAGGGAAGATGTCCATCTTGCGAGGCAGGATTGCACAAATGACAATGATTCCTTGTAACTCTTTTTTAAAAGCCTAAAGGTGGTGATGCCAAATCTTCAAGTAAATCAAAGCGATCTCAGGGTCCTGTCCATATTACAGCAGGAAGTGAGCCTGTCCCTATTGGAGAGGATGAGGAGGATGATCTGGACCAGGAAACGTTCAGCATAGTAAGTCTTGAAATTGTGGGGTGCTGGTGTGTGCGGCCACAGTGCTTGCCTTCCCCAGGTCCCGCCACACAGCCTCAGCCGGCCTGAGCATCAGTATGTTACCTTAGAACACATGCTTCTACTATCTGAAGACCTTTTGCTCTGGAATAGGCAGGCAGGAAGAAATTTTCTTACTCTCTAGTGAGAAAGAATTTTGGGGAATCGATTTTCTGTCTTGTGCTCCTAGGCAGAAAGGCTGTGGGAGTTGGGGAGGGGGGGACGGTGGGTGGCTCAGTTGGTTAAGCATCACACTCTTGCTTTTGGTTCAGGTTGTGATCTCAGGGTTGTGGGATCGAGCCCCATGTTGGTCTCTCTCCCTTCCCCTCAGCCCCATGCCTACATGCGCTCTCTCCCTCTCTCCCTCAAATAAATAAATAAAATCTTTAAAAAAAGGGAAAGGCTGCAGGGGCCCTTAGAGGCATTTGGGAAACAGAAGTGTTCACTGAGCTAACATTTATTGAGTACTTTCTGTGTGTCAACCCTGAATTTACCTACCATGTTGCAAAGAGAGTTGCTTCTGTCGCTGTAGACTTCACATTTGAGTAGGGGAGACAGATAGCCACACGGATTGTGCTCATGCTACTCTGATGGGCTGTGGGGGATCTTTAGCAGATGCTCTGAAGATCCTGGAGAAGGGGATTTGACCCAGGCAGGGGCTATTGGGAAGGCATGTTTAAGGAGGCTATGTTTGAATTGGGTTCTGAAGGAAGAGGGAAAGGTCACAAGAGATGAGGGGAGGGAAGAACATGTCAAGGCAAGGCAGCAGCATGCACAAAGGCCCTGTGGCAGGACCACCTGTGGTGCAATGAGTAGGTCACAGAAGGCCACCGTGGCTGGCGTGGTGAGAACCAGGGGACAACATGACATGAGACGAGGCCAGGGTCTTGGCTGAGTGAGTGAGAGCAGTGGTGAGCGTGAACGTGGTGTGTCTTCCACGCTCCCATACTGCAGTGCTCAGGGCTAAGACATGTCCGGGACATGGTCTCTTTCCTCATACGGGACAGGGAATATGATGGGGGAGGGGAGTGCATGGACCAGCTCGAGCGGGAATGGAAACAGGCCGGCCCCTCAGTGGAGCTGCATGGTCTTCATTGTGCTGCTCTCCATGATTCCTCCCACCTCCTCTGCCCAGCCTTCCATAAATCGCAGCTCCCTTGATCAGTTCATTCAGTCTCAAAGAGAACCTCATCTTCCAAATCTCAAAATACTCCTGCTGTGTGGCAGCAAGGGATAGAATACTGACCTCATTCTGTAAGGTAGTCTTCTCTCTCATTGCTCCTTTCTCTGTGTTCTCAAAAATCTGTGTACATACATACATATATATATATATATTTTTTTTTTTTTTTTCTTTGCATTTACCTCATTTTTCTTAATTCTCTGGACTGTTCTGTCCTCAGCTGTCTGATGGCAAGTAGTGGTTCTTATGTAAAGTACATTTAGGTGTTAGAAGTATTTTTAAAGAAAAAGGGATATCAGTAAATACATAAACTGACTAAATGAATAAATTCATTGTATAACCAGCCATCTGATCTGATCTGTTCTGGTTTTTCCTTAGTCCACTATTTATAAGAGAAAATGCTAACCTATGCTTCTAATAGTAACTATTTATTTTTAAAAATGTTTTCACATATTGTCTCTTTTTGCCATGTTTTAATATTATGAAATCTTTAAAAAATGTAGAAAAATTTAAGAAATATAATAGACATTGATAACAGGTACCACGAAGCCTTGTTAAATGTGAGTTTTTAAGACTCAGAGTAAAGTTGAGGCCCCTGGTGTTTCTCACTCTAAGCCCACGCTTTGGGGCGCCTGGGTGGCTCAGTCATTAAGCGTCTGCCTTCGCCTCGGGTCATGATCCCAGGGTCCTGGGATCGAGCCCCCGCGTCGGGCTCCCTAGCTCTGCGGGAAGCCTGCTTCTCCCTCTCCTCCCCATTCTTGTGCTTTCTCTCTGGCTGGCTGTCTCTCTGTCAAATAAATAAAAATCTAAAAATAAACAAATAAATAAACCCACGCTTTTCCTTTCTTACCTCCCCATAAGTAAGGGTAGTTTTAGATCCAGTTACTGTTCTTGCTCTTGGTTTTAGCATTTTATGACTTCTGTTTGTCTGTAAAGACAGTAACGACACATAAACAGCCAGGCACTGTTTGTGCATTTTTGTGTTTTTTCTCCACAACAATCCTGTGGGGTAGGTAATTCTCTCCTGGCTGGCTTAGCATGACTCTTGATCTTGGGGTTGTGAGTTCGAGCCCCACGTTGGGTGTGTAGATTACTTAAAAGTAAAATATTTAGGGGCGCCTGGGTGGCTCAGTCGGTTAAGCGTCTGACTCTTGGTTTCAGCTCAGGTCATGATCTCAGGGTTGTGGTATCGAGCCCCAAGTTGGGCTCCCTGCTCAGCAGGGAGTCTGCTTAAGGTTCTCTCTCTCCCTGCCCTCTCCTCCAGCTCTCCCACTCACACTCTTTCTGTCTCAAGAAATAAGTGAATAAAAATAAAATCTTAAAAAAAAAAATAAAATGAAGAGAGTCACAGAAGTTGTGTGTTAACATAGTTACAATGGTAGGGCAAAAGTTTGACCCAGATAGTGCGCCTGGGTTCTTAACCCTTCTGGACAGCCTCTCATGTGTCTACACAGCATACAGTATTGCTTTCCGTGTTTAAAAACTTCATAAAAATGCCATACTGTGTATATCCTGTAACTTGATTTTCCTTCCGCAGCATCTCTATTTTTGAGGTTTGTCCATGTTGGTAATTTAAACTGTTTCAGGGGTGCCTGGCTGGCCCACTTGGTAGAGCATGTGACTCTTGATCTCGGGGTTGTGAGTTTAAGCCTCAAACTGGGCACAGAGCTTACTTAAAAATAAAAATTAAAAAAAAAACCAAAACCTGTTTCATAGTATTTTATATCCTGACTTCCATAATGCATTGTTTCTCCTGTAGTTGAACCTTGGGGCTTTCCAAAGGTTAATTACCAAAAATGGCAGCAGAAGTCTTAGAAGTATTTTCATTGAGCCATGTGTAAGCACTTCTTTAGAGTAGTGCTTGCGCAGAGCTCTAGGTCTTTCCTTGGGCACGCACGTCGACCATGTCACTAGGTACTGTCGAATTACCCCCTCCAGCTATGGTGGAGATTTATACACTCCTAGCAGGGAATTGGAGTTCCGATCGCTTCCCAGTCTCAGAAACACTTGGTTAGTTCTGACTTCTCAATTTTTGCCAGTCTGAGGGGTATGAAATATTGATCAGTGGTGTATTGAACGTTTGTTTTCCTATCTGTTAGGCATTCATGTTTCCAGTGGACTGTCTGTTGTATTCCTTGCCTATTTTGGGGTAATTTGGTTTTACCTTTTCTATAGCAGTCCTTTATACGTTCATGATATTGATCTCTTTCTTACCCATTACAGTCATTACAGACACCTTCCAGGTTGTGGTACATCTTTTTATTTTGTGTACTTCTTGAAAATTGAGGTTTAACTCTGAAAAGTAAACAGATGGAATTACCACAGAGCGATAGAAGTTTGTAGGGTTTTCTTTGTTTTGAAATTTGGTGCTCATGTGCCTTAGGAGTCTGTCGTACCAGATAGCTTGTGGTTGACAGCCGTGCCCTATGGGTCTGAGAAGTTTTCTTGAATTATTTTGTGGTGATTTCCTCCTAATTCTTAGTTTTATCTTTACGGAACTTTTTGTTTTGGGAAACTGGACTCTGGGAGTGGTCCATAATATTACTACATGTTTTTCATTTCTGCTTTTTAAATTCTGCTTTCTAGGAGAGCCCCTCCACTTATCTCACATTAGTATTTCTTTTAAGCTTTTTACTTCTCTTGTCATGTTTTATATCCATGATCTTCCCCTGCCCGTGGTTCTCTGAATTTTTTTTTTTTTTATATTTCCCTTTAACTTGTTTTCCATCGTTGATGTTAGATATTTTTTCAGATGACTTGTAATCATTGGTTGTTGCACACATTTGGGAGTAGGGGACTAACCATCTGACCCGAAGCTCTGAGCATGTGGGTGGGGCTTGGTTGACTTCCCGTGTTTACTCTCTGGTGATATGGCTGCGCTGCTTCATTGGGAGGCTTGCACGGGGTAGTTCCTCCTCTTAGAAGGTCAGATTTTTGTGGACAAGGACCCTCCAGTCTCCTGAGTGGAGGGTGAAGGCCTGGCTCTCTTCATTCTGGAGTCTGGGAGGCAGAAGGCCAGGCGCAGGCTCCTCTAGGGTGTCTGCTCATATGCTCCCGCTTCAGTACGGAGCCCAGTTCAGAGACCGCTCCTTTATCTTTTTGCTGGGCCAAGTTGGAAGTTTGGGTGTCTCTTGTGAATCTGGGTATTTGTTACTTCTAAGCATTGTTGGAAAAAACCACTTGTTAGTTTTAATTCTCCTACTTCAGAGGTACCTAGCTTGCCTCTGGGGTGGAATGTGGCAGTATAAACCAGGTTGGTTCTCATCTCAGGCCTCTTAAGTCATTTCCCTTGCTGCCAATATTTTGTTGCTTTTGTTTTCTTTTTCCTTTTCCCTTTGTGGGTTTTTTGAAACACTCCCTTTACTGTTGTTCAGTGGAGTTGGGCAGGGGGAGAAAACGACTTTTGTGTTCAGCTCACCATCTTTATCTGCAAGCCTTCCCCCTTAGTTTCTTACACGCCCAAAGGACTTGTTACTATTTTATCCTGCAGTTCTAGATAGTTTATCTGGTGGTGGGACATTTCTGGGTTAGGCCTATAATCTTGCTTCTCATTTTATCTTCATAATGACCTTATGAGGCATTATCACAGCCCTGTTGCAGACGAGGAGACAGCATTTTGAGCTATAATAAAAGGAAGGTATAGAAGCCATCACTCTTAAGAGATGCTGTTGGGACCTGCACCTCAGGTTTTCCTGACTTTACATTTATGGTTGTTCCCTGGGCTTTAACCCATTCCTCCCCTAGCGGTAACATGCTGTGAGGGTGGGCTGGGTTTTCTCTGGGAATTTAGGACACAGGGAACAAAGACAAGATGTCTTTGCTGCAAGTGTTTTATGTTTCTATTCTGTTGGCCTGTTCCAGTGCAAAGAGCGGATGAGGCCTGTGAAAAAGGCACTGAAACAACTGGACAAACCCGACAAGGGGCTGAACGTGCAAGAACAGCTAGAGCACACCCGAAACTGCCTGCTGAAAATCGGAGACCGGATAGCCGAGTGCCTTAAAGCCTACTCAGACCAGGAGCACATCAAACTGTGGAGAAGGTAAGTGCCCTCGGCCTCAGATTGCCTGGTGTGATTTGACAATGTGTGTGTGGGGAGGGTTCTGTGTTTGTTTTACAAAAGCTGACATAGCCACCTAATGAGAATTTTTTTCCCCCGATAAAACCCATCCATTGGCAATGTACCCGCAGGTTTCAATTTCATTTTCCTGCAATAGACATTCCACTGAGACAGTCTTTTGAATAGGTAGGATGATGTCATTATTTTATAAGAGAACAGCAGGGAGACTGGATTTGCTGGCCTGTTCTCAGAGCAAAGACTTGATCTGTAAACCTGGAAGGGATAAAAATCATCTAGTCTCACAACTTCACCCACCTCAGGTTGACAGATACAATAACTATTTGAATAGTTCTCTACTAACACGTGAGGTGAAACAAAGATTAAAATCACCAGAACTATGATTTTTCCATTCTCTCTGATAATTGAAGAACTCTAGTAGTAATTTGATTTAATGCAGTTTAATCCAGAACTTTAATTTGTAAGGCATATCATGGCTCATATATAGTCATTTATATATTCACTTTTGATTTTTTAGGAAAACACAACTGGAATTTCTTTCTCAAAAGATAATTGTAACATTAAGTCTCTTTCCATAATCCAAAGTGACTTTGAACTCATGTACTTCATGGTTCATGTAATTATTTGGTATAATATACCCAATCACAGTGGATTGGTTTTGAGTGAAAAATGGATTTAAGAAAACTCTGTCATGATGCTATCCATAGCATGCTTCACACCTATCAAAAAAATTAAGTTTCAAAATGTTATTTTTGTTCCCCTTTATACTGTTACCAACTTCTTCCTGTGCCTAGCCACTGGGCTGTTTTTCTAGCCAAGTTAAGCCCTGTTGGAAGAGAACAAAAGGTCATCCTAATACATAGCTCTCTGAAGCTAGGCTTCCTGCCGGGCACTGGGGCCTGTGTTGAAGTGTGTGGGGCACTGTAGACCTGGCTAGCAGTTGTTTGTAAGAAGGTCCTTGCCCATTCCAGAGACACTATCCATCCTGAAGTGGTCATTGCACGACCAGGTATGGTAGGTGTTGGAGAAGGAGGTGGGGCCTGCAGAAGAGCAGTCAGGGAGGATGCTCTTCTGAAAGGCAGGCAGGTGTAGACCAAGTGTAGAAGTTTCTACACTTCTGAGAGGCAGGCTGGGCGTGGAAGAGTAGGGCGGACTTACTTAGGCTTTGGCACAGGCTTACAAGTGGGCCGGTGAGGGGGGCTGGGAGGTTTTTAGGGTTTAAAGGCAGTTTGTTAAGACCACTGAAGCCCATTCTAGACGATCTTAAAAAGGAAGGGAAGGTGCAGCAGGTTTACTACTCCGGGAGCCAGTCCTGTTTCTGTGGGTGGCATGACGTGGTCAAACTGTTCTCTACAAAGTGTGGAAGGAGGTGAGACTCCTAGCTCACTGCGAGTACCGCTGCCTCCTTGTTCTAGATGCCCGTCTTGTCAGTCACTCTGCCATCCAGGGTAATACCTTGCTATGGTGAGTGCAGTGGCATTGCAGGGAGGCGCTGCTTGGAGTTTTAAGGAAGAAACGAGAGGTCTTGGTGGTGACAAGTGGGACGGAAGGAGGGACAGCAACATGGGAATGCTCGAATGTCTGTAGGTCCCAACCGGAAAGATGGTGGTAATGATGGGTTGTGTGGCTGAATCTGGAGGTGTGGAACGTGGAGGAAGACTTCCAAGACTTTGCTGGGTGCCGGTGAAGGAAGGGGTTTTAGCTACGAGACAGAGCCTTCGTCTCCAGACCCAGCGGCCAGACTCTGTTGACACTGGCATCTACAGATGTGTTAATGAAGCGCAGACCTGAAAGAATGTTTCTGTTATTTAATTTCTACACTTGGTCGAATATCCATGGCAGAATTCAGTAGCTTGCCATAATAAAGAGAATAGAAAGTCATTTAAAGAATTCTATAATTTACTTAGAACTGTTGTTTTATTTTTTTATTTTTTATTTTTTTTAGGAATCTATGGATTTTTGTTTCCAAGTTTACAGAATTTGATGCTCGAAAACTGCATAAGTTATACAAGATGGCTCATAAGAAAAGATCTCAAGAAGAGGAGGTAAAATACAAATTTAATCCTAATTTATACAAACAGATAAAAGCCAATTCCACAGAAAAATTCCTTCATTACAGTTTTTCCCTGGGGAGATGGTCATGGGATGATATTATTTGTGCTAGAAGGGTCCTTGGTTCTCTGCCCTCACTACAGATGGGGTGGAGGTCTAGCAGGGGTGGAGGTGGCCAGCACGGCCCCGCCTGTCCCCACCTGTCCCCGCCACAGTGCACCCTAATACCGTGTTAGCTCTGCAGTCTCTCGGCATGCTCCCCTAGTGGTGAAAGTAACAGTGAAACTAGACGGGTGAAATAGCTGACGTATTAGAACCAAAGCATGTTAAAATTCCGACAAGGAGTTGTTACCCTGTGTTCCTATGTCCCGGCATCATTTATTCACCAATCTTGTGGTAGCTTATAAACGTGGCTCCTGACTAGTAACAGGGTTATGGGCAGAAAATACTTTTCTGTTCTTTTCTGGCCATGTATACCTGGTGTCCTTCCAGCTTTCGTACATAGTGTCCCAACTGCTCATGGAAAGGAGCAAATACAAGAAGGTACCCAGAAATTCCTTCCTTTCTCTGGCATAGGGGGATGGGGACATAAGTGACTGCTGATTCTGCAGGGGCTGTGTTCCTTATGCCTGCATGCCTGTTTCCAGATCTGCTGACTTGCCATGTGGGCCTTACCCAAATCAGCCACTCAGGGCCGATCTGTGAACATTGAACACCTCCGCCACTAACGTGTCAGCTCCGTGAAGGCAGAGATGTTACATCTTTCATCCTGTGCTATGTCCTCCGTGCCTGGAATGGTGCTGGGCATGGGGCAGGTGCTCAGAAGTATTTGTTGCATGAACTTAACACTATGCTTAGCATTGTGTGGGACTGTAGAGTAGTACTCTCAAGTACTTTCTAATTTAATTTTACATGGAAGAGTATGATACAGCATTAACATACAGAAATATATTAATATCACTGCATGTTAATGTAAATTTTAAGCATTGTAAAAGTCCGAGAGGATAGTCAGGAAAAGCCTGAGGGGGGAAAGACCCTCTAGTGGGGACTGGAAATTCCACACGATGAAGTCAGACACATGATGGTCAAGGGCCACATTCATCTAAGTCTCAGAAGGGAGCATCGTTGAGTGAAAGTAGTAGTCCTGCTGCTGGGGGTGCACACTGTCACAGCTGTGCTGAAGGACAAGTCAGATTTCTCAATAGACAAAGCAGTTCTGAGAATTTAATGAGGTAATTAAGGATTTAAACATGTTTACAGTGGAAATGACTTAAATGTCCAAAAAATGGGTCATGATATGTCCATACTGGGGAGTTACTCAGCAATAATAAAATAGTGCAAGTAAGTGTTTACATGAGAAGATGTTCACAATACATGAAGTGAAAGAAGAATACCGAATAATATTTTTGTTGTTAAAAAAAAAAAGCCTAGAAAGACATGGACCAAATTACAGACATTAATTCCCTTGGGGGTGAGATTTTAGGTCACTTTGCATTTATTTTTTTCTTACTGTATTTTCTATTTTTATGTCACATTTTACTTGTGTGGTAAAGAAGCAAACAGATGTTTAGCTTGACTTTGGCGTAGGAACTAGTACCCCCTGGGCTAGTCAGGGCTTGTTGGTTCTAGTTAGTCTAGGAAAGTTGGTGGTCCTAGTTTTACGCGGTCCAAGCTAAATCTCTGAGAACGCGCACAGCCAGGGCGTCTGTTCCGCGCATGCCCAGTGTGGTGGCCCCAGCAGTCCCTGAATCTCTGAGAACGTGCACAACCTGGGCGTCTGTTCCGCGCATGCCCAGTGCGGTGGTCCCAGCAGTCCCTGAATCTGAGAACGTGCACAGCCTGGGCGTCTGTTCCGCGCATGCCCGGTGCGGTGGCCCCAGCAGTCCCTGAATCTCTGAGAACGCGCACAGCCTGGGCGTCTGTTCCGCGCATGCCCAGTGCGGTGGCCCCAGCAGTCCCTGAATCTCGGAACGCGCACAGCCTGGGCGTCTGTTCCGCGCATGCCCGGTGCGGGGGCACCCAGCCGTCCGTGATCCGTGCTCACAGGACTTGCCAGCGGGGGGTGACTTTCTTGTCAGAGCAGCACATGCTGCTTTGAGAGACTGGTGTGCTGCGGGAGCTCAGGGGAATTTCGGAACATGTTTTCTATAAGCATGTAGTAGATGGCGGGTTGGAAGCCAAGAGAGGAATACTTAGAGGCTGGTGATCTCTGTACTGTTCTTGGGAATTCCACCGGGGGGCTTAAGATGCTTTGGTTTCCTTTTATTCTTAGGAGCAAAAGAAGAAAGATGATGTGATTGGTGGTAAGAAGCCGTTTCGACCAGAGGCCTCGGGCTCCAGCCGGGACTCCCTGATATCTCAGTCGCACGCCCCGCACAACCTTCACCCTCAAAAGCCTCACTTGCCCGCCTCCCATGGCCCACAGATGCACGGACACCCACGAGATAACTATAATCACCCCAACAAGAGACACTTTAGTAACGCAGGTAGGTCATTAAGTGGAGTTTTAAAAAGAGATGCCAAAAGAGTCATTTTATTTTCCGAAGATAGTAGCTAGACTTTGTGCTCTGTTCTCCTTCAGGACTTTATTGTCTTCTGTCTCAGTGAGACAGAGGGTGAAGTAAAGGTCCAAAAGGCCGTTTGTTATTCCAGCTTGAAGAAGAACATGGCCACCATAAACAAACAAGTAATAGGCTGAGATGAGCAATTTACATTATATAGGATGGTGAAATGGTTAAAACTGTTAATACTGAAAGAGCCTTGTAAATTGACAACAAAAGAATTAGCAAATAGAAAAATGGACAGAGATTAGGAATAGAGAATTCGTACAGAAGAGGAAATTCAAGTGGCCACTATGACAAGGTGACCAGCACTGCTCCTAGGGAAATGTAAATTAAGGCAATAGCAAGCTAACCAATTTTTTTTGCCCATTCAGATCAACAAAAAAGGGTGGAATACACAAATTGCTAACAGTGTGAATTGCTGCAATATTTCCAGAAATTAATCTGAAATATCTAAATACATAAGCCTTTTTTTTTGGTTTGTACAAGAATGTATGAGGATGCCATTCCCGTCTTACAATGGCAAAAAGCTGAAAATAACTTCGATATCCATTAACAGGAGAATCATAAGATAAATAGTAGGACACTGGTGCTCCATATATTATTATCTATTATTAAAAAGAATGAGTTGGCTTTAGAGATAAAGATGAGAGAGAAAGCAACAACAAAATCTGTATGTCTAGATTTATTAAGGTGACATTCACATAACATCAACTTTACCATTTTATTTTTATGTTTTTTTAAATTTTATTTATTTATTTGTGAGAGAAAGTGTGAGAGAGAGCATGAGAAAGAGCAACCAGGAACAGGGGTGGTCGGAGGGAGAGAAGCAGACGTCCCGCTGAGCAGGGAGCCTGGTGCGGGGCTCCATCCCAGGACCCTGGGATCATGACCTGAGCTGAAGGCAGACACGCCCCAAACTTTACCATTTTAAATATCCAGTTTAGTGGCATTTAGTACATTCAGTGTTATGTAACCACCACTTCTATCTTAGTCACAAAACATTTCCATCAGCTCAAATGGAAATCCAAATGGAAATCCCACATCTGTGGGGCCGTTTCTCTCCATCCCCTGCCTGCAGCCCCAGTGTGTATTCTGTTGTCTGGATTCATGTGTTTGGGACACTGCCTGTTAATGGAATCATACTATATGTGTCTGATTTCTTTCATTTGGCATAATATTTCCAAGGTGTATCTACATTGTAACGTGTGTGAGTACTTCGTTCCTTTTTGTGGCTGATTTTTATGGACACAGGTCACAGTCATCCATCCATGGGTTAATGGACATTTAGGATGTTTCTGCTTTTTGGCTATTGTGAATAGTACTGCTGTGAAAAATCTGTGTGTAATACGTATTTGAGGACCTGTTTTCAACTCTTTCGGGTATATTCCTGGCAGTGGAATTGCTGAGTTATATGGTAATTCTAATTTAATTTTTTGAGGAACCACCAAACTGTTTTCCATAGTATATGTTTGAATAAGTGTAGAGATGATGTGAAAACACACCCAGTACCAGTGACCTCAGGATGCTGGGAATGGGGGGGTGATTGTAGGAAGTTAATAATTTCTCCATCTCTTGCTTTACTGGTTATACTGAGCATGGATTTTAAAGATACAAGTAAGAAGAAAGGGAAAAAAGTGTATAGAATCAAAGCTAAAAGTATGTGGAATATATAGAAATCATAGTGTAGGATTTTGCAAAGGGTCGTGTATTCCACAATAATTAGAATGAAGTGTTAATTTCTTTCTAAACTTCAATTCTAGGATTTCCATTTGATTGTTTTGAAAAATACATTTCAGTCTTATAAAATTCTCAAGCTTTTAGAAAACTTGATTTTCTCCATCTTTTCCTCTTCTTTTGAACATAAGAATTATAGTTATTTAAAAATTTTAACCTGCTGATTCCAGTATCTGAATTATTGTGCGTCATTTTCTGTTGTATGTTTTATTTCTCTTGGTTTTCAGTCCTACAGTACTGTCTTTTATGCCTAGTTATTTTTGATTAAATGGGAGAAATCTACGGGATGCCTGGTGGCTCAGTTGGTCCTGGGATCAAGCCCACCTCCCTCTACTCCTCCCTACCGATTGTGCTCTCTCTTGCTCTCTCTCTCTCTCTCTCAAATAAAATCTTCAAAAAAAAGCTAAAAAGGGGAACCTATGTTTTAGAAATTGTGCAAGCTCCAGGTGATGTTGCTTTTCCCCAGAGCGGATTCATTCTTTCCTCCCCTGGGCCCATGGAGTGTGAGGCGATCATTCTGATCTAGTCTGCTGCTGGTCCCCTGTTCCTGGAGCTTAGCTCTTTCCAGTGCTCAGCAGGGGCCATTCTCTGCCCCGTCCCCTTCTGCAGGCTCTAAGCTTCGATCTTGGTTTTCTCAGCACCATGAGACTGCCCCAGGCTGATCTGCTGTTCCGAGGGTTCCAGTTTAGGTTTTTAGCCTTCTGCTCCCTGCAGACTCAGCACATGCCCTAAGGGAAGGTTGGTTGTACGTTTTGAGCCCCTTGGCTCTGCCATGCTCCTCTAGCCTAGAAGGCCCTCTGAAGGCTCTGCTGGTGTCTCTAGTCCTGTGCTGGGAGCAGCTCAGATACTCAGCCTCTCACCTGTGCTCAGAATCATAGCCCTCCCTGCCCGCAGTGGCTTCAGCAGTCACCTCTTCCCTCTGTGAGCTTTTCTGCTCTTTGGAGTCTTACTCCTTCTAGGCCTCATAGCTCTGGCTGATCTTTGATGTCTTCCAACAGGTAAGTTTTGTTGACGTGGCCTTTCTTACTGTTCTTGGCGGAATGTAATTCTGCTACAAACTGCTCTAAACTACCTGGAAGCAAAAGTTCCATGTCTTCTAATCTTAAAAATGTAAGTAGTTCAGAATTAATTGATCACCATTTGATTGACAGGGAAAAAGGTAATTACTATAAAGATGATTGGGCAGTGTTTCCATGTTTGTAGGTCTAATTGTATTTGTCCTGACTTTTCCCTGGGTTCAGATTGGTTTTATGTTATTCATGTGACGTCACTGAATTTATATTCTGATGCTTTGAAAGAACTCTTCTTAGTCCACTCACTGTAGTCTTTTATTTAAGTCTTGGATTCTCACCCATCTCCTTAATAGCTCAGTACTTCCTAACCAGCAACCTACCTCATGGCGGGTTCAAGAAGAAAGAAAAGCACTGTTTGGTTTCTCTGGAAATAAATGGCTTGGCTGGAGTTGTAAGCATCTCCACTATCCCGCAGACACTGACACCCTGTTTGAAATATTACTTTCCATTCAGTTTGAAGCCATCTTCAAGTGATTTGTTTTCATGTTGTGAAGGTGTCTCTTTTTTTGTTGTTGTCCATTAAGTTACTAGGCTGAGTAGTCAATGTTTTATACTTGTTGGTTCTCTGGCCTGACCCACCGTGGATCGCAGTGACTTGAAGCCGCTGGTTGACTGCATGTTACTTCAGTGGTGTCAGATTCTAAGCTGCACAGGTTCCTTCAGGGTGTTATTCTGTGACTCTATACAAAAATGCTTAGAAGACCAGCAAAATGAGTAGAGAGACATCTATCTGGTGGCTTATTTTTGGTGTTAGCGTAGTTGTAGATAGAAGATGGATTTCCTGCGAGGCCACATAGTTCCTTCTGGTTAAGCCTAAGGCTGCCTGTAACAAAGAACCACGAACTGGGTGGCTTAGAGCAACAGAAATGGATTCTTTCACACTTCTGGAGGCCAGAAGTCTGAAGCCAGGGTGTCAGTCAGGTTGTTTCTTCCTGGGAGACGTGAGGAAGAATCTGTTCCCAGCCCTTGTCCTGCTGTGTAGTGCCTGCCTGCTCTCCTTGGTGCCCCTTGACTGGTGGCTGTGTCGTCCCCGTTTCTGGCTCCATCAGTGCATGGCCTTCCTCCCTGTGTCTGTCTCAGACCTCCCTCTGCCTTTCTCTTAGAAGAGTGTCTGTCATTGGATCCAGGGCCCAATCTAAATCCAAGATGATCTCATCTCGAAATCCTTAATTACATCTGCAAAGACCCTATTTTCAAGTAAAGTCACACTTACAGGTTCTAAATGGACCTATCTTTTTGGGGTCACACTTGAGCCCACTGTAGCCTCCATTCCTGGACTTTTGTGTGTTCACTACCTTTTCTGATCAAATAAATGTGATTCTTCTCAGGGGTAAAGGGAGGCTGAAGAAGCAAAAACATTTCAGTTTGGCCCTTTCCTTGAGAGGTAGCATACTGATCCAAATCCAGAGTGAAAGGAATTACTTTTTACAGGAGGAGGTTCATCTCTTTGGTGTGGGCTGGGAAAGAGTAATACAATCAGTATGTCTAGTCTGGAAATATTTTCTAAGACCAGGCACAGCTTATGGTACTAGCAGGTAAATAAACTTTCGACATATAAACAGAAGCTGCTGCCTCGCGGCTATGAAACTCAGCAAGTTCTGTTCTCTGAATTAATGTTTGGTTTTGTTTTTTTGAGTGAAATCTCATTTTAAGGGTCTGCCCCAGATTGGAAGGTAAAGAGGCTTGGAGAATAAAAAGCCATAGTTCTTAGGACTTCCCAAGAGAAAGGCCATGAACTTTCTTTTGCCTTAAAATTTGAGGGAGAGGATGTTGGGACTCAGTACTGGTGTGTTTCCCAGCAGCAGAGAGGCTGTGAAGGAGGAAACAGTGTCTATTTCTGTAACACGGGTCAGCCTTTGAGTTTAAACTTCAGTGGTTGTGAAATTCAGCCATTTGTGGCAGTCGTGAAACTGTTCTTTCTTTTCCTGCAGATCGAGGAGACTGGCAGAGGGAAAGAAAGTTCAGCTATGGTGGAGGCAGCAACGCTCCGTGGGGTGGTGACAGGCACCATCAGTACGAGCAGCACTGGTACAAGGAGCACCATTACGGGGACCGGCGACACGTGGACGCCCACCGCTCGGGGAGCTACAGGCCCAACAGCCTGTCCAGGAAGAGACCTTATGACCAGTACAGCAGTGACCGCGACCACAGGGGGCACAGAGATTACTACGACAGGTAGGCCGGAGGTCCTGAGACACCAGGCGCTGATCTCTGCCAGGAGTTTTACTCTTGGAGGGGGAGAGACAACGTACGCATTCACGTCTAATTAAATGTGCATTGAACGTCTCCTCGTGTGCCAGGCATGGTCCCCAGTCTGAGCTGACGTTGCTGTCAGGGCATCCTCAGGGTATTGGGGAGGAATCCTGGTGTAGGCAGCTGATACCGTGTGCTGAGTGGATATTGAAAGTAGAGGTTTTTGAGGTTTTTCCTGGGGGCTGAGGAAGAGGAGAGGTTGCTGATTCTTGCTTTGGGCCCTGAAGAGCCTGCTAAGGGGACAGAAATGGTATAGGTATCATGGGCCCAGGCCAAGGGTTGGCACCCAGAGAGGGAAGCCCAGAAGATGAACACTTTGGCTAGTAAGGGGTTGAATGCCAAGTTATAGGTTTTAAGTTGTGTCCTTTGGGTCATAGGGAGCCATCTGTAGTTTCAGGAAAGGTTTTCTGCCTTCCTCTGAGGAAATGTAGAGAAGTGGTAGCCTTAAAATACTAGAGTCTTCCAACCAAATTATTAAGCTTGGTGCACGACTCTCAGCAGGATCCTGAGATGGGTCCCAGCCCATGGTCCTTGTCTGCCACGACCCCACAGTTTAGGGGTGAAGGGCTTTTTGAAGTCGTACCCTGGCTACAACTGTACAAGACCTTTATGAGCCAGTTAGCATTGTAACCTGTGAGAATAGCTGTGGGAAGGGCTGAAGAGGTTTTATTTATTCTTCCTAATTTTAGGACTTGACTGTATTTTAACCTCACAGCAGCTTTGGTTTTCCTTAGGCTAACGACATGCTTTGGGCTTGAATTTAAATTTGGAAAGTTTTGTATAAACATCTCCTTTTTTTGGAGCATCTGGTAACACATTAGCACAGTGGCTCTAGCTGAGTAGCCGCTGTCTCCTTTAGAGGGGTCTGTGTCCCCCTCACCTCCCACCCTTCTGTATCGTCTAGTCAGGCTCCAGTGGGCATTTGCCCTGTATTTCTTTGTCTAGATCTGTATTTCCGTTCAGTATCACTTTTTTTCCTCCCTGAAGGACTGTCATTTTACTGTGGGTCTGCTGGTGATAAATTCAGCATTTCTATGTCTGAGAAAGTCTTTAGTTGGTGTTCATGTATGAAAGATACCTTTGCTGAGCATAAATTCTAGATGAATACTCAGCACTTTAAAGATGTTCCTCTTCTGTCAACTTGAACTGTTTCTGATGAAAAAATGTCATCTCTATCTTTGTTTCTCTTTACATAATGTTTTTATTCCTTTATTCCTAGTTTTTATCAGTGAGTATAGTGCACCTTGCTGTATTTTTCCTCGTGTTTGTTTTGCTTGGGAAGTGTTGAGCTTCTTGGATCTGTGGGTTTATCTTATCAAATTAGGAATATTTTTTTACCATTATTTCTTCTGTTCTCTTTCTCACCTCTTTTGGAGATTCTAATTACACCTATAATTAGGCTGTTTGTATTGGTCTCCCAGCTCACTGATGCTGTTTTTTTTTTTTTTTTTTAATTTTGTTTTCTCTCTGTCTCCGTTGGATAGTTTCTATTGCTGTGTCTACAAGTTCACTGAGATTTATTTTTCAATGTCAACCTGCCTTGAGGCCCATCTGATATGTTTTGCATTTCATACATTGGAGTTTTATTTCTAGAAGTTGTATTTGGGCATTTTTTTCCCCCCAATTTAAATCTTTCTCTAACCTTTTGAAATCTGGAATACAGCTTATAAATAGTTTTATCCTTGTTGGCTAGTTCTACCATTTGGGTCAGTTTCAGTTGATTAGCTTATTTCCTCATTATGGTCTTAGTTTCCTGGTTTTCTCCATGCCTGGTAATTTTTGATTAGATGCCTCACCGAGTGCCAAGTATTTTGTATTCCTATAAATATTGTGGAGCTTTGTTGTGAGACACAGGTTACTTGCAAACAGTTCGACCCTTTCAGGTCTTGCTGTTCAGATTCTTTGGGCAGAATGGGAGCTACTCTCTGGCAAGGGCTAATTTTTCCCACCACTGAGGCAGGAACGCTTCATGGTACTCTACTGATGTCCCTTGAAACTTGAGGTTTTCTGGTATAACTGGTGAGAACAGGGCACTTGCACCGCCAACCTTCCGGGTGGTTATTTCCTGGCCTTGGGTAGTTTTTTCACATGCACACCCTGAACGGTGTTCACCGAATCCCCAAGGGGAACCGTTTGCAGGTCTTTGAACTTCTTTCTGTGTGCAGAATTCTCTTTTGCGTTCCATCCTCTTGAATTCCAGCTGCCTTGGTTCTGCCCCTGCCTGTTAATTCTGGAAGTCTCCCTACCCCTGTGCTGAGGCCTGGAAACTGTCTCAAGGCAGTGAGGGGTTTATTATGAGCTTCGTCTCATTTGCTTTCCATCCCTCAGGGAATCACTGTTCTTTGTTTACCTGACATCTGGTGTCTTGAGAACCATTGTTTTATACATTTTGTCCTCTCTCTCTCTCTCTCTCTCTCTCTCTCGTTTAATGAGGGGAAATTCACATAATATGAATTAACTATTTTAAAGGGAACAATTCAGTGACATTTAATACATCCACAATGTTGTGCAACCATCTCGGCCTCAAGTTCCAGACACCACCCCAAAGAAAACCTCCATAACCATTAAGCATTCACTCCATTCTGCTGTCTCCTCAGCTCCTGATTGTTACCAATCTGTATTTTGGTTTTATGGATTTACTTCCCTTGGATATTTTGTATAAGTGGAATCATACAAGATGTGGTCTTTTGTGGCTGGATTCTTTGAACATATAGCATCATGTTTGAGTCTCATCCACATTGTAGCACATGCTGGTACTTTGTTTCTTTTTGTGGCTGAATAATACTCTATTGTAGTGTATTTTTTATCTATTCATTGATGGACATTCAAATTGTTTCCACCTTTGGCTCTTGTAAACAGTGCTCTACCAACACGGGTGTAAAAGTATTTGTTTGAATACCTGTTTCAGTTATTTTGGGTATATGCCTAGGAGGGAATTTTTAGTTATATGGGAGTTCTGTGTTTGACTTCTCCACAGTGGCTGAAACATTTTACCCTCCTACTAGCAATGTACCAGAGTTGCCATTTTCCCACTTCTTTGCCAACAGTTACCTTCTGTGTGTGTGCGCGCGCGTGTGTGTATGTGTGTGTTTATGTTTGTTTAAACGAGGCCATCCTAGTGGGTGTGAATCAGGGGTAGCTCATTGTGATTTTGATTTGTTTCATTAAAGATGTTCAGCTTGTTTTCATGTGCTTAGTGGCCATTTGTAGATCTTTGGAGAAACGTTCGAGTCCTTTGCCCATTTTTGGATTGGGTTGTCTTTTTGTTGTTGACTAGTACCAATTTTTTTCTAATAGGATAACAAGCAGTTTACTGTGGTGCTAATTAAAAATTTTAATATTCTTCACATATTAAGTCAATTTTTAAAATAATTAACCTTTCATTTATTGTTGACTGTTTGGGTTGATTGTGGCTTTTACTGTTAATAATAACTTCTCAAATAATTTCCGTGGCTCTTTTTCTCCTGGGCCAGGTTAAAGAATGTGAAAACGTTTGTAGATCTTGCCAGTTTTCCTGAAGGGAGTACGGCTTTACAAAGCCACCAGTGATTCAAGTTGTACTTGTTTCATTGCAGACTTGAGGCTTATGTCATTTCATAGGTTGTGTTTTGCCAATAACTGTAAAATAGCCCTTTGTTACTACTTTTGTGGGGTTTTTTTCCCCCCCAATTCCTAGTAATGTAAGCATTTGTAGACTCTCGAGTTCTTTGGAAGTGTCCTTGAATATGAGTGCATGAGGAAGAGCCAGTGGACGAAGAAGAAAGGGATGGGTTTGGTCTTTTCAGCTAATCCTTGCATCTCCATTTCAGGCACCATCATGACTCTAAGCGGAGGAGATCCGATGAATTTCGGCCTCAAAATTACCACCAGCAGGATTTCCGACGAATGTCTGACCACCGCCCCCCTATGGGCTACCATGGCCAAGGACCTTCGGACCATTACCGCTCTTTCCACACAGACAAACTGGGGGAGTATAAACAGCCCCTGCCTCCCCTGCACCCTGCAGTCTCAGACCCTCGCTCGCCCCCTTCTCAGAAGTCTCCCCACGATTCCAAGTCACCCCTGGATCACAGGTCTCCTTTGGAGAGATCACTAGAACAGAAAAACAACCCAGATTATAACTGGAATGTTCGGAAAACATAAAGGACAGCTGGGCAAGAAGGGGAGAGCAAGAGTCATTAAGCACCTGGATATTTTTGGTCTGATCCAGTAGGAGCCAGTTACCTAGACCAGCAAGCGGAGTTTCTGGACATGCTGCTGCTGTCAGCTTGCCGGCGGAAGGAGCACTTCAAGGAGTGGGGGCCTTTCACTTGGTCCAGCTTGGGTTTGGGTCGCCACTCCTGCACTTTGACACCCCATCCCATTCCAGCCTGGTTCTGGCCTGTCACTGCGATGGGTGCTAGGAGGAAGAGGACTTTTGTGTATGTACCAGCTTCGTGGGCTGTATTTCCCCAGGGAAGGAAGACAGGCTCTTAGAGTCATGAGTATTTTGTCGCCGGGGTCCGTGCTCCCTGAGCCTGGGTGCGGTGGGCTGGGTAGGAGCGTGTGTGTGTGCAGGCTGCCGGGACCTGCTGGGACGGCACACGATTTGCTTCACTGTGACGTGACGGATGCTGCTGATGGTGAGCGGGGCGTGGGTCTCGCCAATGGGACTTGAAGGGGAGCAGGTACGCTCCTCAGACGTGTTCTTGGGAGAAACCTCACACTCGGGCCTCAGCCTGACACCTGTGTTGCCGGAGGACAGAGGGGAAGAGCTTCCCCAGCGGCCCCTTCCCGACCAACACTAATTTTTCCCACACTATCTGTATATTTCAGAGGCTTGGCCTCCGGAGTAGGCTGCCTCCGCCCTGGTGCCAGGGAAGCCAGGGCCCGCTTGGCAGACTCCTGAGTACTGTGAGTGGGGCAGCACTGGCATTGGTGTGGATCTTCAAGCTTGGTTGAGAGTGGGCTGACAGCGGGGCTAGGGTGGGGGCAGTGAGGCCAGGGGCTCGGAATCCCTGGTGGATTTCTGATCCTGGGATGAGAAGTGTCAGCCCAGGGCGGAGGGGGAGGCTTGCTGCTGGCAGGTGCCCAGGTGCAGGTGGGGAGCGGGTTCTGGGGGAGGGGGGCTCTGGGTGTTGTGCCCGCTCCATCTCTGCAGCTGCCTCATAGTGACTTTAGTTCCCTTCGCATAGCGTGAAGAAGTAGATGGCGCGTGGCACACGTCTGCTGACCCCGTGTGGCGGGTGGGCAGGTGAAGCTCAGTGACCTGTGGGGAACAGGCTCCCACAGCTAGTCGGACATCAGTAGAATTGAACTCCGGTGTTTTTTTAGAATGAGATCAAAGAAAGTATAAACCTAAGTTAAAGTTTTTGCAAACTAGGAAGCCCCCAAGGACAGGGGACTGCGCTGACAGAGTCCTGCCAGGGTTGAACGGAGTCAGAAGGCAAGTTGGTTGCACCCAATTCATCAGGCTCCTTTTGTTCTGATACTGGGCCTTCCGTTTTATTCATTTTAGATATCACCAGTATTGTTTGAGTATCCAAAGGCCTTTCTGGATGGAATAACTGACTTGAACCTACACCGTGCCTAAATGTGTCCAGGCTCAGAGCTGGTGAAAACCTTCCCATTGGGCACGCACAGGGTTAAACTCCCTGAAGTAACCTGTGAGGACTTCATAAAATGATCATCACTTACTTGCCGGTTCCCTGGGAAGCACCATTCATGCCTTTACTAAGAAATCCCCAAGTCCCAGCACCCCAGTGGAGCACACATGGCTTTGGTGGGTCATTGCTGCTTGCTGTACGCAGCATCCTGGGGCAGGCCAGGGGTGAGTTCCGGAGCAGAGTCTGGGTCCTCACAGCTCGTGTTGGGAGCTTAGTGGTCCTTGCCCCATCCTTATTGATCTCCTCATGGTACTAGGATTGCTCAGCGTGGGCTCATAGTGGGGCAGCAGGCCCGGGGCACAGCCCAAAGGAATGCATAGGCGCCCCTGGCCACAGTCATCCCACTGTGACTGCTCTGTGAGAATCACCGCTTTGGCCACCACCAGCTTAGCTTCTTGCTGACAGTAGTGACAGTACCCTGTGTCTTCCTTGCCCAGGCCAAAGAGGAAGGCTAGGTTGGCTTGCCTGGTCCTTTGGGGTGGGGGTGGGGGGAGGGATGAGCCCCAGCATGTCTCTCCCCTGGGAAGTCAGGCTGTGTCCTCTGGGAGGCACGGTGTCACCCTTCCCTTACAGGAGGGCCTGAATTTCAAAATTCGGCAAGGGTGATTTTCTCTGAAGTTGGTAGGAGATGTGAGTTATTCCCAAAGATGTCTCATCATGAAGAAAAAGGAACTTCCTTTTGTTTACATTCAGGACTTTTAGTGCCATATGATGTAGCAAAAGGCAATATTCACCAGATCAGTGTTAAATTGATTATAAAATTACAGTATCCCCATAAAAGCAACTATTTTAGGTGTTGAAGTATGTTTGAAGAGTGGGTTGGGAAAAAGGAGGCATTTCCTCATTGACCTGAATCAGTATATTGTATGCTTTTATCACAAACACATTTGCACAGGTAGGAATTCTCTCCCTTGTGGATGGGGTAAACTGCCCCAGGAATTGGCGAGGGTGGTATTGTGCAGAGCCTGGCTTTGAAGGATTTAATGATTGGGTAGAAACAGCAGGGGTCGAGGAAGAGGGTGGGAAGTTAGCATCACCTGAGATCTGAGTAAGAAATACCCTGCACAAGGATGCCGTGAAAGTCCAGGCATGGCACTGTGGTCTTTTCAGAGACTGGAGAGAAACAGCTAGGCCCTCTGCAGAGCCTGATCTGATGGCC